ATGGACTCTGTATTGTACAATAATTATAATGTAGGTAGTAGGTACTAGCATTGATTATAAATTATAAATACTAATAGGTATTTATAATAAATGATACTAGGTAGTGGTGTCTTCACGTATTTTAATATATTTGAAGTTAATATTAAGAACCTACGTACTGTAAAAATTATTATTCATGTATCTTCTATGTAATACCCTTAAGTAAGTATCTCTAAATCCAAAAGCATTATTTAATTAAATAGTAAACAGTATAATACATAAATACGGAATTACGGAATAACTCCGGGAAAATATAAAATTATAAAATATAAGGGTACAACAATAAAATTTAAGATAGTACAAATATTTTGAATAGTAAAAACTAAATTCTAAATGGTTTTTATAATTATTATGAAAAAAAGTAGGTAAATCTAATTGTATAATAAATAATAATTCATAACATTCTACATGACCGTAACCACAGAATATAACAATGCCGTAACTATGCAAATAATAATGGTAAAAGCTATTTTTAAATTAAATTTTTCCGCTAATTTAAAGTTATTTAATTATTAATTTTAGATTCAAAACAAATATATCCTATGATGATTTTTTTTTTAATGCGTGTATTATGTATACATTCTCAATATGATTTATTCATTATTTACTTACTATTTACTTACTATTTATATATTAAATATACAAATTAAAATTTACCTAACTAAAAAATGAATAGTACGATAAAACGCTTGATACCAAATTAACTACTGTAAAATACTATGTAAAATACCTATTATTTTAGTATTTCACACGATAATATAATAATTACCTAACAAAAATAACACATTGGTCATTCACAAATGTATCAAATTATGAATGTCTAATAAGTAAAATAATATTTGTTCTACTATTTTTGTTTTAGCGTAATATAAATAATAATAATAAATAGTATTTACAAATTTTAATGATTAAGTAGACGCTTAACCGTATGTCCGTAGAACAATGTGTCATAAACATACTACCTATACTGCAGTCCAAAATCAAACGTTAAAAATAATTATTATATCAAAAAGGATTATAATTATAGACTACCTGCTACCTGCCACCTGAGGTAGCCGAATAACATAAAAAACCGATTCTATTGTTGAATGGTTACAATGCTTACAAATGTTATTTTTTTTTTTAGGTACGCGCCTTTTTTACAAGACAGGTGGTTTATAACTATAGGGTGCCTAGTGAACCATAAAAATATTTTGTTTTTATAAGACTATACTTTTTGTCTTCTTATAACAACAGACGTAAACAGATTAACAATATCAGTTGTATCATATTTTATTAAAATGTATAAGTATAACACAATATCTTATATTATAAGTTCAACTGTTCAAGTATTCAATGTTCATGAATCATGAGTGTAGACAGTGTAGTATATTACTTAAATAATAAATAATTAAGTAAATAGTACCTAGTTAAAATATACGGATTATAACCATTTCACAAAGATTTGATTAATAGGTACCTATTTGGCTATATGTAGTAGGCAAATGTCTGTAGGTACATATCGTCACACGAATATTTTAAACACTGGACCCCCTCACCCAACCAACCGAATAAGTAATAACTAATAACTAATAACAAATTACTTCACAACTCCTTCAGACATAATGTAATCAGTTTTTCTAAAAGCCGATAGATATTTCCGATTTCAACTGGCATACGATAATAATTATTTTTATAATACTACTAGCAGTCATCAACTTAAAAGTCAATACGGTTGTACCACAGAAAAGTGTGTAGAAGTATTAAGTAACATTATCTCTGTTCTCTCGTTGGTTTTTTACGATATTTTAATTTTTAATTGAATTTCATAATTTTTGGTCAAGTGGTACTGCTGGGAGCCTTCCTATTCTTATTAATGTTATTTTATGTCACCACTCACCACACTTACTTATTATACCTTGTCTGTTGTATAGATTGTAAATATTCTTTTTAAAATAAAAAACATAATTGAATTGAATTTCGAGCATTTTCAAACACCTATTAATATTTTACATACTCATAGTCATTACTCACTTAAAAATTAAAATATCGAAAAAGTATACATACAGATAGCAACATAATGTCCTAACATTTAAGTTTGATAATAGGTCAATATTCACTCTAATATTTAAACTAACAACACAAAATTAGACACGTTGAACTTACATTTTGATACACTATTATGCATTAGTAAGATAGCACATGCGGGTACAACGTTCTTTTAAAATGACCAAATAAATTCTAATTATTTTTAACTTATTAGTTATTAATATGCTTATAGTTAGGTACATTAAAAAAATTTATAACAAACCAAATTATTATTAAAATATAACTTAAAATTATTATTAAATAGAATGTATTTAAATATTTTATCCACAATAATGTACAAGGAATGCATAACTAATCAAAAACTTCAGGAAAGGCAGTGACAATTAAATTTATATATCGTAAGCAATATGTGATACTTATGATTTCAGAACAAATTTTTAATCCACAAACCACATCGTCATCTCTTTAGGACCATTTTTTTTGTAGGATTGGTCCAATTTAGTTAAAAAATGTCCTATTATTTTGAAATGTAAATTTTTTTGTGTTATACGGTTTTGGCACTATGTAGCCATGTAAAATTAATTTTTTTCTTTTGGCAAAACAAATCTCAATATTCTTCACTCTAATAGTGATAATTATTCCACTACATATCATGTTAAGATTATATAATAAAAATTTGATTCAAAATAATTAAACTTGTGTAATTTTCAGATACTCGTACTCATTGTAGTTATGACTAGAGTAGAATCAACCAGGGTACCAAGAATAAGAGGAATATCCAAAATACAAGAGGTAATAAATAAATTTAATTTTCAAGAAGTATACATTTTAGTAGTGGCGGACTGAACTTAAGTTTTAAATGTCACGTCACCACCGCCACATTTTTAATTTTAACAAAGTTAGGATGTAAATAAAATGTGGCCGAAAGAGCCAAGAGGTCGGGCCTTAGCATGTAATTCTGTGCCACAGTCAAGGGGTGGCACAACCCCATTTGAAAAGTTGACACAGCTGCGTCAAAATTGAGCCCTTCGGCCCGCCACTGCATTTTAGTTTTAATTAATACATTGATCAATATGATTAAATTTCAGATTCCACAATACCGTTTTCACTACTATGTGCAAGATAATAAACCTGCAGTGGACTACAAATCACCACAAGAAGAAAACAAGAATGGAGAAAAAATTGGATCATATTATAACATAGCTGATTCTAATGGAGATATGCGGACTGTTAATTACCGTGTTGATAAATCTAATGGATTACAAACGGATGTTAATACCAAAGTTGGTGCTTCACCGTTCAAGATATCTTTAAACAATCCTGTATATGATACACAAACTGATGTTTCAAAGGAATCAACTGTGTCTTCAGAAGCATCGCCAATAGTTGTAGAACCCTTAAATACACAAGAACAAATATCATCAAAACCAATTGAGTTGGACTTCAGAGATGAATATAATTTGGCAGGGAGCACTGAAAAGCCTATTAAAATAACTGAACATGTGAGCACAAACCAAACTGAAGATCGTAAAGATGATGTAAAAGACGAACAGGCAACGGATCAAGTATTAATTCAAGACGAGGGAATCACAATTAAACAAACGGAATTTACAATTCCTTTTAAAAAACCAAATCCAGTAAATACAGATGACTTCAAATATAATGATGAAGAGGCTATAAAAAAAGATATTGTTAAAATGATACAAAATATCAATGGAGATCATGAGCAGTATGATCCTCGGTTAAATTTTAATAGCGCATTATCTGATAAGCCACTAAAAGTAGTTGAAACTGATTCTATAGAAATGGAACAGCAAGAAAGCTATCAACCAAGTCACGGACATTCAAAATTCAAAAGCCAACAATTATCAAACAAACCATTGAGGTTAGTTGGATATAATCCATCAATTTTTGGATCATTATATGATACGCAAGTTAATTACAATCGCCCATCACAAATTCAGCAACCACCAAATTCATTTAACCAAGGTTATTTTGCGGGTTTCGGAACCCATGGAGATATTAAGCCACAGGCATATGATAATTCTGGAATTTACTATTCTCAACCAAGTTCGACCTCTCCACCAGGAAGTTACAAAGGAAGTCAGAAGTCTACTCTGCAAACACAAACACAACCACTTTATTATTACGATCCAAATTCAATGGTTATGTTACCAGTATATACCAATATGGTCCAAAATGATTATTCCATAACAGAAAATAAGCCTCAACCAACTCAACAACAAGCAGATTCTGGTAAAAGCGGTTTTAATTTAATGCACATTTTAAGTGGAGGCAGTTTTTACAAGGGTTCAGAACAGGCAGAAGGTTCCCAACAACTGACAGTAAAAGACTCAATAAAACCAGAACATCATAAATTTGAAAAATCAAAACCATTAGAAACACATGACAAATCTAAACCATTAGAAACACAAGACAAATTAAAACCACCACAAACATTGATGTTTTATTTGAATCCAGGTGAACCACCAATAGATTTAAAATCACTAACATCAAGCCCAATGCATCTAACATTTGGTCAACCACCACAAGCTGACTGTAATGGTAAAACACTTAAGACCCCAACAGTTAAAGCAAACAAGCCACTTCAACCTATACCACTTTGTTCAGATTGTGTGCCAGCTTTAGGATATGTGGGTTTACCAAGTACTAAGTCAGCTGCAGTTCAACAAAAGAAATCAATCGCTACACCCCAGGTGATGCCAATATGGAATGGGCAAACTGTTTCAAAATTAAACTACTTAATCCTACCCACTCCAATTACTAAGTAATAATATAAAATAATTAATTAATAAGTAATAACATATTATAATGTAAAAGATGACTGGTTATCATTTTAAAATTATAATCTTATAAGTTATAACATACCTATGTTTAATTTCATAAATAAATAATAATTTTTAAATATTGTTTTAATATATTATATATATTATGTATATTATACTCACAGTTCCCAATCTGTGTACAATATCTTCATTTACAGGATACCATAGTTTAATTTTTTTGTATAAATAATTTTGTTCATAATACTTTATAAGTTCTACTAGGCTTTCAAACTGTTTTACACCGATAGTGTACAATCGCCCTTCAAGTTTAATACGACAGTGTTTAATTTTCTTTTCAGCTCTAAAATAATAGTATTTAAAAATATTTTTTAATTGTTTTATAACGAATATAGCAAATACATTTTCTTAATTTACCTAAATGAAATAGCATAAAGATGTTTGTCATTTTCACATGGTCGCACCAAAAATGCACCTTCTTGTGGTACTCGTCGCAATAATGCCTCTGCTCGACTTCTACAAACATGAGGAAGATACCAACTCATCCCTTCGTGCTTTAAAGGCTGAGGTACAGGTTCATTCAAAATAATATAGCATTCCTAAAATTAAATAATTATTAGTTTATCTGATGAATATATTGTGTATTTAAACTTGAACGTGAAGTTTTAAATTTATAGCAATTTACTTGTATTCGTAATGGATATGTACGATAATAAGTTATCAAACTATATAAACTGTCAAATGCAGCACCATCTATCAAATAATACTTTATTTGACCTCTATCATGCTTTGAACGTATTCTGCAGTGGTTTACTTTGCCTAGATGCCTATAAATTTACAAATAGATAAATTAATATGTAATGGTCAAAGCACAGAATTAATCTATTCTGTGGTTAAAGTAATGATTTACTCTATTTATTTACCAGAATGATAGAGAATAATCGCCAATGAATGTATCACTTTGTCTTACTAGAAATGTACCGGCTCCAAAATGCTGATACTGTTTCAATAGTTCTTCAGCTTCATTTCTACCACGAGCTAATTTTCCATGAAACCAGTATTCTCCAAAATGTAATTCATCATTAGGTATACCCTATACAATTTATATATTTAAACTATAATTTATTAGAAACTAATAAATTATATTATGCAAATAATTGTATAGTACCTATATTATAAATATAACACAAATTGGGGATTATATGATGCAGCAAAAATAAATTTATAAACTGAATAAATATCAATATAAAATGGGCATTGTACTATTATACACGTTATCTCCAATGGATAAAATCAAGGAATAATGAATATTATATAATATTATATACAAATACTTTTTTAGATTTTTCTCTAGTAAAGCTTAGTTAATTTTCAGTCCCCACACTAATAGTATTAGGTTTTATGTAATTTTGGATAAACAAAATAAAAATGACTTAAGCAATATGTATTGTACTTGAATGTTTCGTGTTCAAAAATAGTGTTAAAAACTTAATTTGTCCAAAAAATATATCGAAGTAATGTATTGTTATTATTTTAGTATTTAATGCAATGAAAACAATAAACCAAACTAATAATATTGCATGATAATCCATAATAATTTACCTATTAGCACAGTATATAACGTTTTGTTCGATAAACAAATATTGATAAAACTAAATTATCATAGTTACAAATAAATTTAATTTGGATAATTCAAAAATAATGAAATAAACAAAAAAAAAAATGTTTAATGCTCCTTTTAGAATCTAAAATGTGAAGGGATTTATGTATAATACACATAATCCTGAATTTATAAGAATGGTTTAGGGTCTAAACTATTTTAATAAACTATCTCAACAATAAACACACGGTCCAATATTTTACCATGTCCTCAATATTCATAATTAAAGACCGGATTTATATGTTTTTACATATCGTTACTGGGTCTATGCAGTCTTATGAGAGTAAAAAATGTGGACGATTCGTTCAATTCTGAATGCGTAGAAAAAAGTTTTTTTTGCATATTTGAGAATATTTCATGGGTTGGAGAATATTTAACCCATTTAGCATATTTTGGAATATTTCGTAAATTGTGAGCAAAAATTTGTATTTATTTTTATTAATTTTAATATTACGGTACTCTGAAAAAATTTTTTTGACCATTTACAATTTATTTTTTTTTTTCATTTTGATAAAAATAAAACACTCAGTATTATCAAGGTTTATCTATGTATATCTACTGATAAGATTAACTTATAAGTTTATCAATTATTCAAGTATCAAAATTTTGTTTTTGTGTTTTAATATTACCTATACTGTTATATTTATATTATATTCCAACTTCTTACTCTTGCTAAAGTGCAATACTATTCCATTAGGTATAATATGCAACTCTTAATACCTAATTAATATCTCACTATAAAAATATAGTTGAAAATAAAATTTTAAAAAATAAATGCATATTAAAGCATATAATGATGTTTTTTGATTATTTTTGCATATTTTTTAAATTTTTAAGAGAATATAATGAGAATATTTGAAGGTTTTTTAGAGAATATTAGCATCATATTTTGGGTATTTTAAGAGAATATAAATCCGGTCTTTATTCATAATATATAATTATGTATTAAATCCAACTAACTTCTCTCAATCGATTTGCACTAGATACATCACTAATTTCTAACTCTCCTCCATCTGCTTCATCTTCATTATCGATATCTGATTTACAGAGGTCTGTATAATAAAGCTTATTACCAGACAGTACGAAAAAATGAGGTCTCCATTCTTTTTCTAACAGATCTTCTAGATAAAGTACTCCATTTTTTTTTGTGTTTCTTAAATCAGTGTCCTTAGCTAGAAAAAAAACTATGCAAATAAACAAAAATATTAAACATAAAATATATAATATGTTTACAGTCATCGTTATGTCTAATTGTGACAGCTTGGTCTCCATTAACTTTTTCTGGAAGTCTTTTATGTTTTATTATGAACTTATACATAAGTTGTTCAGGGGAAGGCATTTTGTTTTCATTCCGGTCAACCGGTTGTGTAAGTAACATATCCCCTAATACTTCAATCATAGTTGATGCCATATTTCGCTGTTGTGGTATTGAACAGTTGTCTTCTATTGACAAAATAACTGGATACCTAAAATTATAGTTAATAATTAATTGATTAATAAATTACTGTATAACAATATTTTGCTTACGGCGAAGCAATAAAAGCGTGTTCTTTAATCGTTTTTAGGACATCTAAAAATTTTATACGACTGGTTAATGTATGGCCATGGTATATTATTGGCAGTCCGTCTGGTCCATCCCAACAATCTAATTCTATACAGCGACATCCCCAACGTAAACACCTTACATATGCCTCAATTGAACTTTCACTAGATACTTGATCGCCAGTTAAATAGCTGAAACATATTATGATACCAGATTTTTAATAACATCAATATATTATTGTAAATGCTATAGAATAATGATAAATAATTTACTAGTAAATGCATATTAAAATATACGTTCTTATTGGTTTAAACTTTAAATAAATATGTAAAACAAATATTATAAACAAAATTAAATTGTACATTTTATTTTAAAGATCATAAAAATAAAATAATAAAATATATTTGGATTAAAAATATGAAGTACAAGAAATTTTTTTTTTTTTTATTAATTATCCCACGGCAATTTTAGGCCATTAGGAAGGGGGTGGTACTGTAGGTTTTTGGAACTGTAGATATGTTATACGTGGGTGAGGTAGTACAAGAATTATAGAGGTTCATAGTTAGTAACTAATAATAATATAATATCTAATTCAAAATATTTATTAATACATATTATATAATAGGTATCTATAGTACTGTAGTAATAGAATATATGTACTCTATTAGACATTGTTTTCCTAATTTTTATGGTCTCTTGGTACCTCAGATTTGTTAACTTTAATATCTTAAAAACATACAAATTATACTAACGTATTATGAGAAGATGCTATCCAATAATGTGAAAGTGGTTTTGTCATGTTCTGAAATATATTGTCATAATATTGATCCCATATCTCATTTTGTTTTGAAAACAAATAGTCCATAAACTAAAACAAAAAAAATTAAATTACATATATTATTTTATAATAGGTACTATGTAAAAACCAAAAAAATTCACACGGGAAATAGGGTTAAGAACTGTAAGTATTTCACTCATTGTGATTACATTGTTGAAATTAAGGTGTTAACCAATTATAACATGATTAACATGTGTTTTGTCAGAAAATTCTTTTAATATTTTGATTTTCAAAAAAATTATAAAATTAAATATTAAAAATAGCCCCTGACAAAACACACATTTTATTATTTTTTATAATTATTAGGTAATGAAACCTAAACTTCAGTAATATAATCTCAATGAGTAAAATATAGAAAGGTTTTTACTATATTCTATATTAATTGTAAGACTAAGAAAAATGTTTGATGATTCACCCCTTTACAGTATTTTTTTTTATCGAATCTCAATAAATATATGTACATGTTGTAATAAGTACTAATAGAAAACATTAAATAAAAATGTAAATATTCAATATAGTAATTTTAATTGTATTTATTTAAATAAATATAAAATGTATAGTTTAAAATATGTTATGATGTCTGTTAATTAATGACTGTACACTATAAAGAGAATTTATTATTCGGAACTACTAATTTTCAACTTAATCAAATATCTAAAATTGAAAGAATACTTTAAAATCTAAGTTATAACATTAACAGGGTAATTTCTAATTTATTGCTAGGTATTTAGTATTTTACCACAGAATAAAGTTTATATAAATAGCATATAATAATTAATATTATAATCTGTGACTTTTCAGTATTCACATTTCACACATCTTCACCAATTACCAAATAAGTTTAATATGAAATTTAAATTTAGGAACGAAGTTCAGGGCTGATAACAGACAACGAAACCTGTTATCAGTTATCAGTGGTCGCCATTTGGAACCATTTGGACTATTTATGTGGTTGATGATAATACATTATTATTACCCAATGCAGTATCAGGTAGTATGTTCACGGTTTACCAGAGTCCGGAGTGCAGAATAATACTTGGTATTGATTTTTAGTTGACGCGGTTTTTGTCATTAAAATTATTCGTTACGTGTTTGGTTGGTTTTCATTATTTATCGAACAACTCAAAATGATCCGCTTCATTCTAATACAAAACAGAGCAGGGAAAACGAGACTAGCCAAATGGTATATGAACTTTGACGATGACGAGAAACAAAAGCTTATCGAAGAAGTGCACGCAGTTGTAACGGTTAGAGATGCCAAACACACAAATTTCGTAGAATTCAGAAACTTCAAAATAATTTATCGAAGGTACGCCGGTCTATATTTTTGCATTTGCGTGGACGTGGGCGATAACAATCTGTGTTATCTGGAGGCCATACACAATTTTGTCGAAGTCCTCAACGAATATTTCCACAACGTCTGTGAACTAGATCTGGTGTTCAATTTCTACAAGGTATACACCGTGGTAGATGAAATGTTTTTAGCCGGCGAAATTCGGGAAACGAGTCAAACAAAAGTCTTAAAACAACTACTTATGTTGAGTTCATTAGAATAAGTTATTATGATATTATATCTACAAGCAAATATTTTACTTTCTTTACCAATACACTAATTACTATTTATAATTTATTACTCTATACCATAATGTATTCTTTTTTTTTATTTATTATAATATACATACATAATAATATAATGCTATTTACGAGTAAAGTGTAATTATAATGATTAAAATAAATTACACCCAATTTATTTTCATCCCGACCTTTTTTTATGTGTGATAAGAGATAATATGATATTATCCTTAATTTTATCCGCCCCCCTAAAGATAGCAGATCTGCAAATATCGAATATTACAACTATAGGAATATGAAATACATTGTTATAGTGTTAAACTGTTAAATGCATTTTTTTTTATAAAATAAAATGGATAGCTACAAATTGTTGAAGTTTGGTGTTCTTTTTACTGTTGGTGTTATCAAATTAAGTATTTGGATAATTTATATAAAATAACTTACATCAGTTGAGGTAAATTGTAGCTTATCATTTAAATCTCTTCCACAATACTTGAAATATTCTTTCATATGTTTAGCAACAACTTCTTCTTCAAGACATAAACTTTCTTGCTCAGCGTTCAGAAACCTAGTTAGATTTTGAACGTTGAATGTGTCGTCAGCTGAACAATACATTGAAAAACATTCATTGAAAATCTAATAAAATGCCAACAGGTATTAAACAGTTATAAAACAATTTTTCGTGAAATATAATTTTTACCCCTGAATTATAGATAAGCTTATTATAGAGAGTGACAAACTCATCAAAATTAAGCTCATTACGCTTCCTGGTATCGACTTCTTGAAACAACTCTCGTAGTTTACTGGTTGAAATTTTGCAATGAACACGAGGAAAAAAAGCTTTTACATCTTTCAATGTCACTCTATAAAATATATGTAATTGTAATTATTTTATTTTAGCTTAAACAGCTTTTTAAATGATTATATTATAAAAACATTTTATTAAAATAAAACATTTTGTTTGAAGTGATTGATTTATTTTTGTACTAACGTTTCCCTTGAATTTTCCATAATATAAAATTCTTTACGCAGCCATCTTTCAACTTGTAATGGATATGGAGCACAGACAGTATCATTTACAAGATGATATAAGCCTTTGATCCATAGTTCACATTCTTGTTCAGATAATGCTGTAATCCAGGTAATGGTAATTAGATATGGACAGAGGTAAAATATCAATAATAATAATAATTTTAGCCCATTTAGTTACGGCACAAAAGTATATTTGAAGTGTTCGGCTCATTCCTCATTATCAGGGCCAGATTGGTTAGGCAAGCTACCGAGAAAATATCGGTGGGCCGGTTATGTGAGTGAAAAAAAATTCATGTTTAAAATACGATTGGCCACCTATAAGCTCGTAAAAATTATAGAAGTAATTTTGGGGCACTGAATATGTAGATGGGTCGCTTATAGAAGTGAAAATCTTGATGGGAATACACTCCAATCCGGCCCTGCGTATTATAGTCAATTCTAAACACAAGTTTTAATTACGTACCAACTAAACAGTTTATTAATTATCAATTATTAATTATTATTATTTGATTTTACTGCCTTGGAGACTTAATTTTCTAAAATATCTTAATACAGTAGCCACTCGATAATTCAAAATTCAGGGGATCGAGTTAAAAATTTGATTTATAGAAGTTTTCGATTTACCGAGTGTTCGAATAATCGAGGGAAAACAAATTGATTCGAATTTAAGAGAGGTGAAAAATTGTATGTATATATTACATTTATTTTTAGGTTTAGTTTTGGTAAAATAATAAGATTAAAGTTTAGATTAGGTAGGTAAGGTACCATAACATTTATAAACGACGATAATATTTAACCACTGTTGTTATTAGTTTCATTACGAGTACAGACATTTTGAATTATCTTCTAATTATAGAGGTTTTCTCAGGGGACTCTCCATTTAGATCGATTTATGGAGTTTTTGGAATTATCGAGTGACTACTGTATTTACTATTTAATTGTCTATTACCAAACATGAAAAAGGTAAATAGATAAACAAGTTTTATAAAAAAAAAAATTCATTATTGGAGCATTTTTAGACCTTCCATGATTGTTTTTAACAGTATATTATATTGAAGTGTGGCCGCGTGAATAGAGGCAGCCACCTCATGCAAAAGTGGGGGTGGGTATCCCAATAACTAAAGTCTCCAAAACCTAGACAGGTATATAGACTAGTTAATAATTTATACTCGCATAGTCACATATGAACTGCATTTAAGATGTGTGAAAACATAAGTGTAAAATGTGAAAAAATTGATGTGTGGGAACTTATAGAAAAAAAAATTTCACGCCGCCACTGATATTGAATACATTATGTAACATTTTTAAGATGTACGGGTTATAAGCACTTCAAATGAATGTTAACCATTACTGTTCAGGCTCTATCTCTCAAATGACGAAAAAATTGCATTTAAAAAACCAAAGCTTCTTCTTTTTATCAAATGCTCATATTATTACTTTATGGATAATACATTAATTTTAATTGTTTTTATAATTTTTTATTTAGTTAAATAAATAAAAGCTAAAATAATATGTAATAAGTAAAAACTACTACCTATTATTATTAGGGCCTGGATTTATATGCTCTACAAACCATTGAAAAACTTTCTAAAATTAAAAATGTATTTTACTGCAATAGTTCCCTTATTAACACGTTCACTGTGGATGATGCCATTGGCGGCATGTACCTTGTTATTTAATGGACTATAATTTGGTCAGCGTTACGATTACGTTTACGGTTTTTTGTCAGCGTATTCTATAAACATTGTTTCATAATCAAATTCAAACCGTACATTGATATTTTAATTTTTCAATTGTTAGGAAATTTTTTTTAAAACTAGAATTTTTTCCGCCTCACAACAAATAGGTATACAAAAATTTGATCTGCAGTGAACGTGTTCAAAATTGACATATAAAATCATTTCTTCAACAAAATGTTATACACATATCTAATATGAAATGAACAATACATTTAAAATAATTTAATAGACATTTATTTAAAAAAAAAAAAACTGAAATTAGATGAAAATTTGATTAGAAGTTCAGAGTGTTTATAAATTATAATCACGGCCTACAAATGTTACTATTGGATACATGTTTATCCTCTGTATAGGGCTTAGTGGGTGAATAGTTAAAAGTAGAATTTTTGGACCAAAAAGATATCCCCCTCCTCCTTAGAAGACTAATCAAATCCGATAAGTTATACAATATACAATTAATATTCATTAAAACTAACAAAATTACTAAAAAATGCAAAATAAAAGTTTCACTGTTGAAGTATCTGATTCTTTCATGAAACAAATTATGTACTTGAAAAGCATCGTCTAAGATCACCCAAAAACAGGTGCACTTTGCATTGAAATCCGGGCCCTAATTATTATCTACAACATTTTTGGGATTTCATAAGTAAAATAGTTTATATAGAACAATTAGTTTTTATAATAAAGTATATTAAATTTTTTTTTAATATTTTCAACCACCTTAATAACAAACAAATACAAATTAAATATACAGTTTAAATTCTAAAAAGGGAACATTTAATTAAGTATTTTTTATTGTTGTACTTAGATCCAATAGCTAAAATTGTGTACACCCGTTTTGATAATGAGTATAATATAGGTAAGTAAGTACAAATATTGTATTGTTTATTTTATTTTATTACTTAAATTAGTTATAAGTACCTACATCACCTAGGTATATAACTTGGTTTTTCATCGTTTTTAGTAAACATTTAAAGAATTTGTATGATTAGGATAATAAAAAAATATTTTAAATTATTATAATATTGTTATCAATAAAAATTAAATTAACAAAAATAAACCATCTTCACAGTGTTATGGCTAGACACCAGTTTTTCATAATAAGATATAGTAGGTGCCCGAAGAAGTAGTTACCTTTTTTTTATTTATAGAATTTACCTTGAAAGTTATGATAATAAAATAAATGAACATACCAACTATGGACAGAGTTTTCAATTTGAATTCGTTGCCATAAAATATGACAAAGCATTTGGACGCTTCAAATTTCTTCAATTCATCAGGCCATCTATCAAATTCTTTACTATTTCTACCACAACGTACTTCTTTGGCATCTTTGAGGTCCACTAAAATAGAAAAATCATACATAAAATGTTCAATACACATTACAAAGATAATAGTGAAATATAATTATAAAATAATTGTATAGTTGTAAAGATATTAGATTAAACTGAAACATATAATTACAAGAGCCATCAAATGTTTTATTGTTGCTACTGCTTGTCCTTGACCAGAGAATCTGTCGTGTTTCCTTGCGTAGCTTCAGTGTTCGTTTCTCAGGCCGTTTCTTCAAATAAAATCGTGTGACGATTGTGCCTCGTTCCAAGATGTTCATAATCTGATCAAGTTCTGAGATGAACACATTAGGTGTTAATGAGCCGCAAGCCATTTTTGAGATATTAGTTTACTGTTTATTCTGCCCGAAAACATTAAACAAGTCAGTGTTTAAAAATTTAAAATATCTTTTAAACATCCGGATAAAGTTTTGTCTTTCCACTTTTCCATCGAGAGTCGAGTTATCAATATTCAGTATTATTATGATTCATTCCATTTTTCATGAATGAATGATAAATATTACTACATTAGATAACAAGTGCTTATCAGTGATTACAAAAAAGGATAATAAAAATAAGGTTGGCCAAGACTTGGTTATTTAGCCATGATGGGTACCGCTACCGCAGCAATAGTAGGTTGTAGCACCTATACAGTGCTGCAGTAATTGTAGGTGTTGTGTGGTCCTATGGATGAGAGTCCAGGGCCTATTATGCTGTTTGAAATTTTTTAATTAATATTAATTTGCATAGTCTTATATAATTATATTTTATTTATTCATGAAGTACCTATAACCTACTTAAATATATTTAAAAAAAACAACTTATATGATAAATTATAAGCAAGGTTCTATCACATAATTCAAATGTATCTTTGCGGAGAGAAGATCAAGCAACTACTAAACAATATTTTTAAAAAAAACACACATTGTAAAACAAATATTCTTTTCTGTGCTCAAAATCTAAAAGGTTAATGAGGATCTCCTATATCTCCCATATTTTCCGTGGGTAAGCCCCTTACTTGAGATGTAGTCTGGTTAGTGGTTGGGTGAATAGCTATGAAGTATGAATAGGTTTATAGGTAAATTAATTTATATATTGAAAAATAAGTAAAAATATATTTGTTTATTTTTTTTTTTTATAGTAATATTGTAATATACAGACAACATAAATAAAAAAAAAATTAAATTAAACTAAAACAAAATCATATACGTTATTATACTTTATAGAAATAATTAATAGTGTCTAGTGAATCTTATTTTTAAAAACGTTCGCATCAAAGTCACCAGGTTATTATACCTTATGCATGTACTTAAATATAATTTCACTCTCCCAAACAGAATATTAATTTTTTGCTTAAAATTATTGAACTATCTCGATCTTTTCCGGATTTGGCCATTTGGGTACTGGGTAGTGTATACAAACTACAAAGTACAAAACTAACAATTTTAAGTTTGGTGACAGGTGCAGTTGGCATAAGATCTAAAATAAATTACTATAAAAAAAAAAAATAGATAATGTATACCTATTATTAAATTATCAACTATAATAGTTGACTAGTAAGTTGAGTGTAGGTTTAATTATTGTATATTTTTCTAGTATATTTGAAATTTTTAACAAAAAACTGCAACCAGGCTTCTCTTGCTCAATAATTACAACTATATAATACAACAATTAGATATTATTAAAGTATACAAACTGGATTCTGTTAAATGCTCAAATTATTATATTATAGGTACCTAGGTACTTCCCTACGCCAATCGTAGGTAAATTTAATATTTATACAGGGGAACGTGTAGAAGAGTAAGGACGCTGTAATGGATTGAACTTTTAAAGACACTATATAAATACTAATAATAAATTAATAAATGATAATTTTATTTTTTAAACTTAAGCTGAATATTATATGTATAATAATATAATTAATATTATGATAAGTTATTAATTGAATAACGTTTTTTTGAAATTGATTGAAGTTTTAGAAAGTTCGCTAGGAGGTGAATCTAAAGAAATTTACATTTGTATAACTCTACTTTGTCCCAGGTATAATCTGCAGAACAAAAACATAATGATACTAAAATACTTACTAGGTAGGTACTCGAGTGTACTGTGTACATATCGGTATAACCATATCGGTCATTATTATATACATTAATATATTATTATTATTAGATATTGTTATATAGCTATTAGCTATATACGTATACTATATAGTGATTATTACTTGCAGGTATGCTATAGCCGTATGGCGTATAGGTAATGGTATGTGTATAATATATTAATATGGATATGCCAAGTAGAATGGAACAGAATTCCGTTTGTCGTAAACTATAATATTATATTAACATATACCTATTTGTATTACTGTATTGTATTAGGTAGATATACATACTACATACCTACACTGTATTGTGATTGGTGAAATATATAATATGTGCCACTTAATACATATAATGTACTATACATAATTATTCAATATGATGTTACATTTAAATTGCAAAATAGATATTTTTTCACTGTTAAAAATCCGAATTTAATATATTTTATTAACCTTAAGTCATTGCATTATATGGAAGTATTTGTTTTTAAACAGTTATGCATAAAAAAATGTAACTGTATTTTAGACAACAATATTATTAAGTATTAAATGGTTATATGTATTACACACGTTGTCTATATGTTCAGAATTAGATTATATCGGTATATACTATATACATAATATAATATGTTATATATACAATATACCTACAACCTACTGGTCACTCATACTGATACCGATACCTATATCTACTATATTAATTAATTTAAAAAAATTAATTAAATTATTAAAATATCTTTTTAGGCCTATATGGCTATATAATATGTTGTTACTCATTAAATATTACCAACTTCTTAATTATATAATAATGTGGATTGTGAATAATAAATTATATACGATTGAAATACCTACCTATATACGGTATATGGCTTTGGTTATAATACGTAACACCACAACTCTAAAGTACCTATGCTATTTGCGTTAATTAGAGATGGACGATAATCGATTCCCTGTAAAGTATTTAATGTAGGTAGGTATTCGTTTTTAAATTAACACGTTTATAATTTATTGAACCTCAATTTGGTGTGATAATAACACAGAATATAATAACAATAATAATAACAACAATAATAATAATAATAAGCCGACCTTCGTGTTAAAATTAAAATAGTTGCGTTGTCTGCGTCATCTGGTTTTCGAAAGTTTTCATGTGTCTAGGCCTTAGACTCATAAAGAATCCTTTTGACGAAGCAAATAATATTTGAGTTTATTGTGTAAGTCGGATGACTAACTGGATATCAATTATGACCTATGAGTAAGTAGTCGAAAACTCCATTGCACAATTAACAAAAAATTATTTAATCTTTGAAATTGTAATGTAGGTACACTAATAATAAAGTTTATATTTTGTAAAGGCTGTACACACTGGACATCGTCGAATACCTATGTGCTAATTCAAATTAAGTATAACAAATATAATATTAATTATAAATTAAAATAATGTATTCAAACTTTCAACTAGGCAGGTCCAGAGTGCACATGATAGTAGTAAGTTATTAAACTATTTTCAAATTCACTTTAAAAGTATTAATGTATTATCTAAATTCTAAAATGTAATTTGGTAATTTAGGTACCTATAGGCTATATTTATGAAAAATATTTGTGTGTATGATTGAGGCACAGGGCTCGAAAATCACAGTGGGTACCTGCAAGTACTCCTATACAGGTCTTATTATAATATAATTGTCCCCGTTATTTTTAGGTTGATAGTTGTTAGGATCTAAATCAAAATATTTCATACAGTCATACCTGTTTTAAAATATTTTTTTTATGAAGTTATACCTACAACTTACTCTACTAAATCCAGTTATCAGTATTATACTTATTTGTAATTGGAGTTTGGACAATTGGTACAGAATCTTAAATTTATAAATCACTATTAACTTATCAAATAGGTACGAGGTACCTATGATCACAAGTCACAACTTTATAATATGAAATAATGAATATAATAAATATAAAAATAAAAATAATTTAAGGTAGGTAAAGCCAGTAGAGTAAGGTCTGTCTGCAGAACTTAAGAGTTAAGACATTAGCTGTACCTACGTCCTACATACAATTTAACATTATGGTAATTACTCATTATTACATGTAGACGTCGTGCTATTGACTATATATATAATTATAAAAGAAAACATGTTGTTAATTATTTTCAATTTACAACTATATTATAATAGATATTAGGTATTTTGTATTTAGGTACCTACAACCTACTACTAATGCAAGTATACCGTGTACGTGATATATCATATAATATGCAATGACACTATTAAAATAACATAAAATACTATGCACCAGTCCGAGTACCCAGCCAGGTTTTTTTAATGGGGGGAGTTTTAATTTAATATATAAATACTTCTTGGGGATCTGTTCTCACATCTAATATACTTTTGAATTATACGGCCGAAGGGGAAGGGGTGTTTAAACACTTGACATAAGTGGCATATACCTACTAATATTAATGTTCTACAGTTTACTGTTTTTTAGGCAATGTTATAAAAATCGGTATTCTTATATATATATTATACTTATTAGTTATTACTATTGTTACTTACTATAGTTACTATATAGGAATACAGACATACAGTCATAAATATATTACACTATTATATGCCCATAATGATGAACCTATAATCATTTTAAAATTGTCCTATACATATAAATACCTACTTTTATACCAATTGACGCATAAATATATTTATCAGGGTAGGTACCTACTATCCGTAGCGTACGCAAGATTTTAGTTCGGTTAGGGTCGTAATAACCGTCCTAATAATCGATGGATGATACACCGTATATGACGATTATGGCAGATGTTTTGTAATGTTCTAAATCAGCAACAACATTTAAACTTAACTGAAACTGAAATTAATAAGTCTTATGACTTATGAGTATAAAGTAAAATTGTTTGTTTAATATGAAACAGCCGATAAGTAGCTTCCCCCTGATCACTCTGAATGGTGCATTGGAGCTGCGGCTACTTCGACTTAATATAATATACTAACTATTAATACCATAGTCCATAGTACAATACGATATATATATAGAGATTATCTATTATCTACACATAATATATCATATCGTAATATTATCACCCATGTACATTGTACGTGTACCTACATGTTATAAAATCATCGTGTTTATCGCATTGGATATAATATAAAACAAGTTGTTGTTGTATAGTATATCTATGGTTTATCGATTTTTTGTAGAAATGACCTATAATTTTCATTTAATTATTAAACGAAAATAACAATATTCTTTGATCACGATTAGTATTTGTATATTATCATATCATACGGTTATTAAGACATCCTAAAAATTGTTTGTGGTCACCGCAGGTCTTAATTCGTAAGTACGATTGTACGATCACGAAGTGACCAAAATACGACGACAAAGGTATATCCTATACAGCTATACGTCGGTCTGAACTCTGAATGACTGAATCTTATGATGGCCAGTAGGTAGTAGGTACAGCAAGTAAGTAGTCGTAAGTATAGACCAGTATAGTAATTAGTAGTATGTGGGTAGGTACTATATTATATTTTAATATTTATATAGGTTCTGGCGTACTACTGCAGTGAAAAGCATCTCCGCGTCGGCCCACGACAACCAGTCCGGCGTTGAACGTCTCGCGAGCGCCTGCGCTGTACGTGACGTCATCGTCGTGAATGCGGTTCGTTCACGGGGACCGCGACCAACTGTTGAACTGCGTGGCCTACATCGGGAAATCCCGTTACCCGTGCCACTTGTTCGGCACCACCAGACGCCAAGCGCCGCGCATACGTGTTCGGGGGGCCCGGCAATCGCGTTATTGTGGTGTTATTATTATTATTACTATCATATACGCGACAGTAACGAATACGGATCGGTAACGCGTTAACGTATCGTGCCCGGCACAGAAATTTCACTCGTACTCGTAGTGCAGCGACTTGTTGTATAGCTACAACACTCGCTTATTGGCACAACGTACTATTACATATTTCATTATTTTTTATAATACCTACCTCTACGCATTTACACGTATGTTCGGGTTACCGGGAATTGTGGGCAAAGGTGTCTTCGGAGGGAACAGCAGCGGCGACAGCAATCGGAGCCGCAACAACAACAAGAGCAATAACAGCAGCAACGGCAACAAGAGCAAAACGCTCACGTATCTGCTGTGGCTGGTCGGCGGAGTGTGCGGCCTGCACCATTTCTACTTGGGCAGAGACCTGCAGGGCGTACTCTGGTGGTGCACGTTCGGTGGGTATTTCGGATTCGGTTGGCTCAGGGACCTGTTCTACATCGGCGAGTACGTGGCCGACGCCAACAAGGACGAGAAGTACATGAAAAAAGTCGACTACATGGTCCGCGTGTACGAAAAGGTGAGCGCTGGTATCGGATTTATCCGGGGCGGATGGTCCTGATAATCTCAATGTGACGTGTAGAATTAGACTTTTATACATTTACACGGCATAAAAATAGATACTCATCGGTTTGCTTGCACAAAAAATACAGTATTGTTTATACTTTTATAAGAATATAAAAAATTATTTTACAATAGGTAGAATATTAAATTTTGACCTTTTTACATCTACTAGGCGTTGTAATATCCACTTATTTACTATTTAGTAATTAGTATTATAATAATATATTACATGATAATTATGGTGGTCTGGAGATGTGACACTTTAAAATAGTACCTATAGTATAAGTAGGTATTAAATATTAATACTTACCATTACTTATACGTAATACCATTATTGATTATAATATAATATATTATATACTAGTATTTATAATCAATGGTATAATATACGTATCTTATTTCTAACTTTATTATGTTTACATTTTTCCAGTAATCTGTGTAGGTATATTTACACATTGTGTTAGCCTTTTTTTTTCACGTGCGTGGGTACACTCTACACAGTATGGATTTTTTTTACCTGTCCTAAAAGTGTATAACTTCACCCACCCACAACATGAATGTTTCAACATTTATGGACCCGACATATAATATACCTAATTTACGACGTGTATTATAATTATTAAATATCGACACGAGCACACGACGACGATATTGTTAAATCCGTCGTCTATGAAAATAATATATTCGGTGGGTAGGTTTGTACATATGTAGCTTTCCTAACGTAGGTACGTTGGCATACTTATAAATAACTATTTATATATTGCGTTTACGATGTGACGCGGACGCAGCCGGAAACGTCTCGGTCGGTTTGAAAAAGTGTCAGACGAAAGAAATGGAACGCGGTCCGTTTTCCACCCATATATATATATAAGGTATACGTGCCGAAGCGATTCATCAACGGCCGATGACATATTAATAATATTTTTTATCTCATTCGTTATTGAAACTCAGATACCTTGATTACCTACAACTTACCTATTTCTATCGTTATTATTTGTTGAGACTACCTATTTTAAGAATTCGGATAGAATAATAAATTAAAATGATATAAAGCGGCTCATAGGACACAACGCGATGTTTAAAAATATATATATATATATATATATAGGTCAACCATATACTATATTGTAATATTGTATATTGCGTAGGTAGGTATAATATAATATATTATTATACCTTTATCGGGACTGAATGGTCGAAATCAATAAAATTAATGAACAGTCCATGAAATTAAATTTTATGGTATAAGATAATATATTATACCATAAAATTATAACACTTAACACATATGGTCGCAGTCGTATATAATATACCTGTTGACTGTTTATGCATATTATACATAGGTATCACATATGTATAATATTCCTACATATTATTTACTTAGGTATACCTATACCATATACGTGGTTGTTTTGTGTGACGTGGTTAAGTTTATTATTATTATTGGTCCAGTAACTCTATACAAATTCCTCAATAACTATCTATCATTTATAAATCTTATATTATGCAATTATTTAATAAATTAATCTAAACGAAAATAACAAATATAGGCTATGATTTAAAAAAAATTCTAAATTTACTATACTTTTATTACCTTTTTAATTTATTGTTCATTATCGGATATTTCCATCTATATTAAGTTGTATGGTTTAATCTTTGTTTACCAGTGGTTCAACAATAATATTTTATTACAGTTTCTTATCTTATACAATAAGCTATATAATATATTACTTATATCTACGACTTACCTACGATTGTACATATTTTGTGTAACGCGCTTTTATGATGCCTATTTACATATGCTGGTGAATAAAAATAATGAAATAATAATTCTTAAATCTTAAAGAAAAATGATATAAATATTTGTAATATAAATATCTATAATAAATTAACTGTTTACTAAAGTTAACCTATATGGTTATATATCAATCAATTAATGGCATGATGTAAAAACAAAATTATAAGTGTTTAAAATGATGAATACTTTTAACATATTATAGTTATAGCCTATAGGCTATAGGTCTGTAGGTATACATTATACTACTTAATAAATATGTATATTTTAACTTATATAAAAATTATAAAATCTATCAGTACAATAGTACATGTTGCTTAAATAATGCATTTGGGTTTTGTAAAAATAAAATGTATTATATATTTATATTATATCTACCATATGTGTCATAGTTTTACGAGCATTCTGAAATATGATAAACTACCCTGCTGTCTGAGACTTTTTTTTACTGCTTTGAAAACAGCATAAAAGGTTAAAGCGATTGTAAAAAGTCACAACAATACCTATAATTTGGTTTTGTTGCATAATAAGACTTGTGTCTGAGACTCAGATTCTGAGTACAAACCTGTTACCTATATATATGGCTCACCAACCACTATATTATAATATATAAATATTAAATTTAAATAAAATAACAATTCTTTTCGCTACCTAACAAAAATCATGTTGGAAAAATGATATTTGTTAACCGGCCCCTTCTGTGTGGAGAGTTCGGCACTTGGACATGTGAGGAATTTAACCTTGAGAATACTACACAAACACAATATGAAGGTTAATCACCTTTATTTCTTATAAATGGTATATTACCTACTAAGGAGGGTTCACAACTCGTCGTGTCGTGTACTCGTGTAAAATATTTTTTTTCTGATTGGCTTACCGAATGAGGTTGTAAAAATGTAATCGTAATATCGTATCTACCCACACGGTGCCATATTATTGACTATCGCGAAGTTGAATTTATACTCTTGGACGATTGAAAGTTAGGCATTTTTGAGTTTTGACCGCTTTGACGTGTTGTTACATACCGGTTCGCTGATAATCCTAATTCGTAATAATATAAATTAGTAATTACAATTTTGGTAAATTTATTGTTTTTATTTGTAAGATGTTAAAAATTATAATATTATTTCGGAATACACATGACACTACGGTAACTGTGAACACCCCCCCCCCCCCTTTAAGGCTTGTCGAACATAAAATTAATTTTATTTACTACGATGTACACGTACATTAAAACCACTAAACTCTATACCCTGTTATATTACTATATAGTTCAGTGATTAAAACTCTATAGGATGGTAACGGTTTTTTCGGTAAACCAGTTTCGGTAATATTACTGGAATTTACTGCTCATTTTGCATAGCATTAACAAGATCAACGGTATCACGACGATTCGGGATACTCAATAAGGGGATTCGATACCGTGATTTTCTGTTTTTGTCTAAAACACGCGTGACATAGTATTTTAGACGTGTTTTTTGCCAAACATTCCAATTGATCTATTGAAGCGATACGATTTCTGAAAACAGATTTGAATTTGTCGTCAAGTCTACTTGAAAACGACTTTCCCACATTTTTGATTTTTTGATTTTAACTTCTCCAAAAATTGAAATAACAGAATTTTTAAATACTCTTTTTGAATATGACATTTTAAAAAATTTGGGGGATGATATCAAAAATGTGGGAAAGTCGATTTCAAGTAGACTTGACGGCAAATTCAAATCTGTTTTCAGAATTCTTATCGCTTCATTAGATCAATTGGTATGTTTGGCAAAAACACATCTAAAATACTATGTCGCGCGTGTGTTAGACAAAAACAGAAAATCACGGTATAATAATAATATTATAGCGTATACCAACACGTCAGCGGCGTCCTGCACACGTTCAATAAACTAGCGATGTCCAATCTTATCGGTAGATGGCGGTTTATGACCCCAAAACGCTCTCACTTGTGACGCTCCGTTCGCAACTGCATAGTATATAAGGAACGTTCAGACTCATACCCTTCACCTCACCTCCGTTACCTTACCATCGGGTCCACACTCTTGGCGCGGTAACCGAGCGGTTACCGATTGTCCACATCACGACCTGAGGAAAGTCCCCGGACCTCCGGCAGAGAGTGCAACCGGCTTAACGGCCGTTCGATTCCGCCCCAATCGGACGAACACACGACGGAAGTGAACGGTCGCGTGCACGCGTCCGTGATCCGTAGGACGTTTGTGGCGATTTCGACTGGTCCTAGACATACAGTATGTGAAGGGAGGGTTGCGCAAGTGACCCTTGACTTAATGGGGCTTACCAACGGAGGTGAGGTTCCAATTTTTTTTTTCATTTTATTTAAAAAAAATTATTATTATTATTATTATCATTATTTTCCATGAATTTTTTTTATCATTCATATTATTCCCTAAAACAGAAATATTATTCTCCGGCGGCTTCACGGCTTCGGAAAAACCGTTGGTCAACGTTTTTGAAAATATATTTTCTCAAACAAACGATTACAGTAACAATGTTGTTTTAATTAGTATTTTGGGATGATTGATTAATTTATAGATTTTGAACGGTAAAATAATAATCGATCATCACAGCAATGAACAACCTACAGAAATTAGAACTAATTAACCAATGTATAACAATGACTGCTATCTATTTGCCACCCAAATATATAAACATATTTTATATATTATGTAGTTGTATATATCTGTGATTAGGCATTTTATTATAATCGATAATATTAATATATCTATTTAGTGTTACGGTACCTATATAGGTAGTATACACAAAAAAAAAAAATAAAAATATTCCAATATAAGAGTGTAAAACATTAAAACCTAAGTATAAAATATGTATAAATGTCATAATTTAAGTAAAGTATATTTTATTCAATGGAAAATGAAGATAATGTGTAAGATAATTAAGAGTGAACTAAAAATTAACTTAAAAGCATGTCCTAACTAATCTTACAATCTATAACATAATAGTATAATATTTATTATTTAAACTTTAAACAACATAAATGTCTGACTTGTTTTACTATTTTTCAGCCACCGTTTTCTACGGTTCGATTCACTGGAATGGTAGTAGTGGCATATCTTTTCAGTACTGTTGTATCTCTAGCAATACCCGAAGACAATGTGGCAGGTCTTAGTTGGCAATGGTTACAAGTATTTACTCCTCTAGCTGCTGCTATAGGTAAGTAATAAATCACTTTGTTCTAAATAGTAACGTTATTGAGCCCACACTAAAATAATATTGTCTATAGCATTATTTTTTTGTTAATTTTATGTACGTCAGACATCAGTATTATAATATTTAATTAATAATATGTACGTACATTTAAAACCATACTATATGAAATATAGTCTGTGACCATACTGCCAAGTTAGTAAATTATTGTTGTAGTACTCACGTTATATACATTTTGTCATATTGCTTTCTAAAATTTATTTTAATAATATTTTTCCTCAGATTTTTCGTTTGTGAATTAAAAAAATTGATTTTTGCTTAATATCTATACATATATTGTTGATGTATAATTAGACAAAATATATGATTATTGTTTGGTAAGAAATTCAATAACGTAGATAGTGTTGGCTTTGGCTACATTAATTACTAAAAACAAAAATATGATTAAACTCATATAATTTCATTACAGTCATTAGTCGTACCATACTGCCATGTTATGACTTGTAAATGTAGATTTATTATACATCTAGAAATTAAGAAGAATTTTCCATTAGACTCCACATAATATGAGACATGAGTTCTTAAGTTATTATTATGTAAAATTAATTTAATATTTACCAAGTACTTATATATTGTTGTTGATTAATTTTCAGGTGTATGGGCCGTGGGAAATATTGGTCATGAAACAGGATCTATTAAATGGCCTTTAATATGCGCGTACTTGGTACCCATGGTTGGTAATCCGTTGAAATCATTTATTTTTGATAAATGGGGCTACGATATTGATGAATCTACATCATTTGCCATAATGATATTATCTGCAGCATGGTCATTTGATCATTTGGAAAAACGGTGGAGGCCAAAAAACCAAAAGACCCCAGGCACCTTAAAGTAAGCATTTATGAAAAATATAACTTTAATATTGTAAGAAGTTATGATTAACAAGGAATTAAAAAAATTTATAAATCATATTCAAATTTTTAATATTTTTTCAAAATAACTTATTTGTTTTGAAAACTTTGGTGGATGCCTTGATCTGTTCAATATTTACTTATTTATCTAATTCAATTTGCAGGCGAATCGTTGTGATCAGTATGTGCTGTTTATTATACATGGCTTTATGGAGTAGTTATTTGTATTTCAACGCCAAAGTGACTGATGAAGATGGAGACGAAGTACCATTCCACGAGGCACTAGGACATTTTTTCAGTTCACCATGGTGGTTAGATGTAAAACAATCATTTATTGATGTATGGCAATTTGCCCAAGAACATGGGTGGATGGAGACTTGGCGACAAATAGTTTCATTATCTGATCCTTCGGGTGAACAAAATGCTTTTAAGGTAAAATTACACAATTTAATAAAACTTAATAAATTAAAAATGTATATATTTGTTATGTAAAATATGATAAAATAGATTAAAGCTAAATTTATGTAAACTAACATTGAATGAATTTTTAAAAATATTTAGAATTTCTATACACTTTGACAACATTATTTTTTATGAATTTATTGTGTGCAGATTTTTATAAAATTATAATATTTGTTTCCTTTTTATATTTATGGATATTTTTCAGTTATCATTAAAAGTCATAACCTTGCATATTAACGCATATTTTGATACTTATTAAATATTGAAGTGAAATTAAATTGTTACTGTTTTCAAAATCTAATAAATGTATAAAATTATAGGTAATACATTGTCCAATAGACAATTTTAATAATACCACTTGTTGACTAAAAACTTATTTTTTTTTGTTAACTTATATCAATTTTATAATTTTTAACAGGAAGTTAACTTTTTGGTTCATAATCTTGTTGAGCAATTTAAGTAGAAAAGTTTTTGTTTTGCAATAAGTACCTTGCAATTAAGTTCCTAAAGTTACTTTCAACCAATAATAATGTTTTCATATTTTCATTATTTTGACTGCACATTAAGATACTTTTTAGTGCATAAAAATCCGTGTTCTATTGATGAGCATTATATTTGGAGTTAAAACGTCGTCCATATATTTACATACAAGTTATAATCAACCATACCTATTATTTTATATTTAAGGTGCTGGAATTAAGATCAGGAGCTACACAAACTGAAATAAAAAATCAATGTCGAACATTAGCAGTTAAATACCATCCAGATAAAGCTAAAGATGACGTAACTAGGAAAGATGTGCAAAATCTATTCTTTGAAGTACAGCAAGCATGTGAACTGCTATCAAATAGTAGAGCTAAAAGGCGAAGAAGAAATAAACAATTTAATGAAGAGCTTTAAGTTGCATTATTATTTTTTGTTTTATACCTATCATAAAATCATAATTATTTATAAATTTACTGTGATAAAACCAAATTGATGATATTTCGACATCATTTAAGAATAGTATTTTTTTTTTATAAATGCTATTGGTCAAGGCATTAAATCCTTATGTGATGGATAATTTTAAAATAAAAATTACAATAGTGTAATTTTTTTATGTTAACTTAACACTATATGTTATTAAGCCTTTGTCAGATTTATAATATGTATTTTAATTTTAGAAACGTTCATTATCATTTAATAATTTATTTTACTATATTATTGTCCGATAAGAGACTAGAATAACATTCTATAAACACTCATTAAGTATGAATTTATAAATTTTATAAGTAAACCAAATTCAACACTAAGTTTATATATTTTTTTAGAACCATAAATGTAATGTTTTCGAGTTTTCAGTATCTCGAAGTTCCTATATAATAATAATAATGTTTAGGTTGTTTTTAATATGTAATTAACTTATAACTCCAAACTTTATGATTTTATTGTTTGTTTAAAATTAAATAATTTTAATTTACCATATAGCTTAGTGTAATTGATTTATGAAAATTGGCTTCAAGCCATGACTGTACTTTCAGAATAATATTTCTACCTGTTTTTGTAGAATCAAATATTTTGTTCTGTAAATACAATATATTTATATTCATTACCTACTTTATATAGGTAATTTAATTTTAGGAGTTGGGAAATAGTTTGTATGTGTTGTTAAAATATAGATCATAGTAATTAACTTTACAATACGGTGCCATTATCAATATTGTAAATTGTAATGCTATAGAAGTTTTTTTTGTTTTGTTATCAAACCATTAGATAGATAGTTCATAAACTTCATAACATTTAATATACTTAGAACAATGGTAAAAAAAAAAACATTTGTATGATATGGTTTATTGACTTGTTTGTGTAATTAGTATTTAGTATAATTATAATAATAGCAATGAAAAAATATTTAGCATTAGGTAATGATATACATATTAAATTAAAAATAATTAATAAACAATATCTGAAAGAGCACCTTAATAATTGAGAATATTAATATTTATTCTTTGACATCAATCGTTTTGTACAATTTTATTTCATCAATCATTTAATACATTTTTTTTTCAACAACAATTATATAAACAAACAAATACCTATCTACATAGTTTTCTCTCATACATTTATGATCAACGTTACATAAATATCCTAAATTTTTGGATGTAATTAATTTCACCGAGTTCTAAGCTAACTTACATAGTTACATGTTAATATGGAGTTTAAAAAAAATGTATGAGAAATAATTAGTGTAGGTACACATAATACATACCTACAATTCAGAAAAATAATTAACAAAGGATATTATTGGCCAGTTGCCACCGCTATGTTTTCTGTAGCAAGATTCTAGGTATTTGTATCCTATCGGTTGAAGATAAATAACAGGAATATTATATATTATTTCAAATGGGCAAAATCAATAAATACAAAAGTATAAAATATGTACCTAATGCACAGTAAATATTTTTTCAATTATATCATTTAATATCGTTGCAAATTTAATAATAATTATCAAAATTGTTTCTTAATAAAGAAATTTGTAAAATAAAATAAAGAACATAAATTTATACTTAAATTCTGGTTAATTTTGAATATTCATTAGTAATAGATAATACAGTTTGTATGTTATTACAGCAAAAATAATAAATAAAGACAATGCATATTATAATATTAGGTAGGTATTGTAGGTACCTGGTCACTACACCTACATAATCCGGCTTATCGTAATTCATAATAATTAATAATACTGATATATGATGTTATATCCTTGAATAATCGGATAATGAACATGTGACAGGCATACATATTAGTATAGTGTATTTTAATTTTTAAATATTATTTTAAGATTAAATTTGAAGTTTTTAATATTATTATACCTATCTATTGACATAACTGTTAAATATTTTAAACTAGGTAGGTACAATCTAAACAAATTATAAGTAATAGTCTTACATAATTAGCAACATGGAAAACCAATTTTGCAATAAATCACAGTTTTCAGAAAATAAACGGTTCTAACTTATACAGTTACAACTATCAAGAAAATAATACAATTAAAATATTTTAATTTTCAAATACCAACCTATCGAACTATAGGTACCCACCTCTTCTTAGTGAAGAATTAAAATCATATAAAATAGTCAACCCACATCGTCGATGCCTTTCTATTTAAACTACCGATTAAAACTTGATTTGAAAATTTATACCGAAGCAGTACCTACTAACTATTTATTATGTCTTTAAACTAGGTAGATACCTAGGTAGTTTTACATTAACCTGAACTCAATGGCTTTGATATTCATGCTGTAGATATTAATCATGCTTAAAAAAATAAATGATGTAGTCGTAGATTGACTAAACCTGAACTCTGGCTTTTATAGGAAGTATTAGCCAGCCAATGGTAACACACTCACTGACTTAAGTCGTAAGCTGTACACTTACCAATTACCATACATTTTACATAGTATCTAGGTACCTATAATCTGAACAAAAAGGTCAATGTTATTTTTAATAATTCACAACAATGTGAATAATGCATTAGGTACGTCTTTTGGATCATACAAATTTACTAAAATATGTAAAGAAATGGAAATTTGAATAGAATAATCTGACGCCCGGTTCCAATATAATGGTAATGTTCTGTAGAATCGACCGAAATTAATGATATTATTTTTGACTTATAGGCCGCATTGAACTCCGTTTTTAAATATTTTAATCTCAAACTTTATAATAGGTTTATGTCTTCAAAAATAATATAGCTATAAGTTTTTTTACAAATTACCTATAATATTAGGCATAGTGGTACCATTATTTGAAATAAAATAACAAAATCGGAGTTCAATGCGACATGTAGGAAGTCTTCATCTTTCAGATAAAATAATACCTACTTATCATTTTATCAAAATCCGACAATTCTACAACTTCAAATAAGGCCTGAAAATGTATTCCAGTGAGGTCATTTTTTTCGATATAATACACTGTTCGATCCCCCCTCAATAAAATATAAAATACCTATAGTTTTTAAATTTTATAGAATTTGCGGAAAATTTTAAAAACCAGCTGATGGCCCCTCAAAAAATCGACTTACGCGTTGCCAACTATTTAATATTTTTTTGATTTTTGATATTCTACTTGTCCCCCTTGTTTAGTTGTTCATTGTTAACCACATTTAAAACAGTTTTCGGCAGTTTCAAATTTTTCAAATATTCATGTAGCCATGTAGGTAGCTAGGTACATTTCAAACTTCCCAACAGAACTTTTTGAAAAACTATATAACAACATTTTTAAGTGGAAATTATATTTAAAGTTTTTTTGTTTTCAACAAAAGCTTTAAGTAACAATTATAGGTATTATTTTTAATGATAGGGATACAAAAAACATTTCTTGGTCTTTTCTTTAAGAATCATGGGAAATAGGTAGGCTAATAGGCTCCCTCCTCTACCACTATGTTTTTTTATGTTGAATTATATTATTTTACATTATTTATTATGTAGCAGTTAAAATTAATTTACAAAAATTGTATAATTTTTAATAAGTAGCTGGTACCTACTAGACTAAAATTAGCACCTATTTTAGATTTTATATAAAATCACGATTATCATCCTTAGTTGGTAGGTAGGTAGGTAGGTAGGTAGGTAGGTATATTAAGTTTAATAACACAGTAAGTCCACGTTTAAATTTCAATTTAGATGCATTAGCATAAAAAAAAAATCATAATGATATACTTAACAATTTAACTGTTCCTGTTACTGAGGTATGGCTCACTGAGGTATCAGGGCCCGGAAATATAGAATAGGTAAAGCAGTAGGCACTAAGGTACCTATTACATAATATTGGTAGTATGTACCTAATATTGGATTTACGGTTCCTATGCCACCTATTATTAAATACAATACGCAAAGGTATAATTATAGTATATTAGAAAATATTTTTAATAAAAAAAAAATCGAATATCCAAGATAAAATGTCACGAGATCGCTATTTATTATATTAATATGAAACAACTAGCATAAGATAGGTACTATATCATAACTTCTGCATAAGATTAACTAAATTATAATCGCCAGTAGGTTGGTCGGTTAAATCCCTATAGGTCTTATGCCAGAGCTGTTGCTGTTGCAGTAGGTACCTATATATATATACATATATTACGGTATTCTTATATAGTACCTGTACATAAACTACCTTACTCTAGATTTAAATAGGTACTTGGATTTGGCACATATTAATCCTTTGAGATAAGCATAAGACCCATAATTATTGTTAAATTTAATGATGATAAGACATTAAGACCACTTCCCGCAGATATTTAAAAACGAGTTGTTTGATGTTTCTAATATAGATTCGTATATAGGTAAATACCTACTGAATTCGGCTATTTCACTCACTGTTTTGCACTATAGATGACATATAGGTGCCAGATTTGAAAAAATCATTGGTTGCTATGGCCACTCATACATTTGCAGTACCTTCATAATTCATACCAGTATAACACTGCAGACCACGGTAATCTGTTATTGCAGATAGTTTAAAATTTAAATCATAGCGACCTATTATAACTAAACACAGTCAATTTATTATAGGTCTATGCAGTAACCCAGTAACGTTTCTAGGATTTTTTCGGGGAGGGAGATATCAAATTTTTTAAATGGACATTCAGTATACACATATTATATTATTATATACATATTATATCGTGTTCAAAATTTGGTCTCCGGGGGGGGGGATATGACCCCCATACCACCCCGTAGATACGCCCACTGGGTCTAAAATATGGTTTAAATCGAGTTAGAACATCAGCATAAGTAATCAAGGTTAAGGAGAAGGAAGAGAATAATATTATTGTAGTTTGATCCTGTATCGAAAAAAACCATCAAAATGGTTCGGATACATTTAATTAATAATTCGTCATCGACAGTTGTAAACATGCAGTTGTTAAACATACTGATGAGTGATGGGTACCTACTCGCTTTGTCAAGGGAAGCGCTCTGTTTCTGAGGAGTAAACGATAGGCAACATCATTTGAAGTCGCGCAGTGCAGCTGTCGTGTGAGTACACCCGCCGCGGAATAAGATCATGACTGGTCGCGCAGTCAAAACAACTTCCCTCCACCGTACCGCTTGTCCACGCGATCACTTCCAGTTTTGCATACGCCACCGGCTGCGCGAAACGGACGCAAAACGGTCCGCTCCCGGTCATGATCTTATTCCGCGGCGGGTACATAGTAAACAAACATGGTATTTTGGACGAGTGTCCAGCTCGCCACCACCCGCATATTCATCAACGGTGGGATATTCATTATAATTTCCGGGAAACAACTAGCGGTTAGCAGGCACATGCACAAGTCATTGAATTTGATGAATAATAATAATATATTATTTTGTTCCAACGAGAAACTAATTTTAATCAATCTAGACGTAAAAGCCGGACAAAAGTACGTCAACACTCAAATTTATCGGATTTCAATTCTGTAAAAACATTTGAGTTGAACCACTTTTTTCCCGGGTTATTGTGGAAGTCGATTTTAGAATAACTGTTTAACTTTCTTAGGAAAAACACTAAAGTAAATCTAAAAATTTAAAAACTAAACTAAGATTTAAGAACAATTTTTAAAGAAATATCAAAAATCGATTTTCACAATAACCTAGAAAAGGGGTCGGTCAACTCAAATCTTTTTACAGAATTGAAATCTGATTATTTTAAGTATGCGTAATATTGTCAGGTTTTAGGTCTAAAACGTGAAATAAATACGCTGCTTCCAATCCCCTTTCCAATCGAATTTATTGTCCGTATTGTTTCATCCATACATAATACATTTATTAGCTACATTAATACACTGTTGGTTGAATAAAAAACGTTTTCGAGTGAATGATTTGTTTACCCCAAAAACAAAAAAATTCAATGCGTGTTCGAGCAGCACTCATATGGTAGGAGGTATCCGGCGCCTATATGACTATAATATTGTATAGGTATAGGTACTGTAGCAGTATGTTATGCGTTATGCATATTATTATTTCATTTTATGAGAAAAAATTGGGTAATTCACGATATTTATTGTATCCTGTACTTACCACTTAAAAATAATTATAATCATAATAATAATAATAGTAATAATAATAATTAAACCGTAACCCGAGTTCATCGGTTACCATCATCGTTTTTTGTTCTTCTGTTTTTTGTTCCGAGAATCGGTGGCGTTCGGCGACGACGGGACGAGCGGTTGCTGTTGTTGGAGCGGTTCTTGCAGCCCGGTGACGGTCACCTTGGGCACGGTCAACGGTCTGAGCAACGATTTGACCATGGGCTTGGAGCGCGTGTGTACCGGCAATGCGGGGCTGCTTGCGCACAGGGCCGCGCCGGTGAGCTGCGACACCAGCGAATACTGGCCGGCGGTGCCGACGGTCGAGTCGGGATTGGACGACGTGCGGAACGCCCGCTTCAGTTTCGACTTGATCGAGCGGTGGTGCTGCGTGGCCGCACGCTGTAGCGTGGCCACCGCGGACGCGGCCGGCGGCTGCATCAGCCGGCCGTTGATCAGCATGTGCGGCCCCAGCTCCGGGTCGCTACCCCACCGGCCGTACGACGTCGTCCGTTCCAGCAGTCGGTTGCGCGCCAGTTTTTCGATCGCGTCCGCGCAATTGTACCGGCCGCAGAATCTGGCCCACTGTTCGGCCCGCAGGCCCCGACCGGTGTCCCGCATGGTTGGCGAAGCGCCTGCAAGAAAAATAAACGCCAAGCGGGCTTGTAAAAAAAAAAGTAGGTAATAACCATATACAGGGTGCAACAGGAAGACCTGACAAAAAAAAAAAAATAATAATGCATCTTAAGCGTATAAAAAAATTGTGAAAATTATATGGATAGTAAATAATTTAAGAAATATATTCATGTTAGGAAATTCTCAAAAATAATATTTTGAAAAAGTTGTTACGTTCTAAATTAATTTACTCAAAAAACAATTGATGATTAGAAAAATTCTAAAAAATAAACTACTTGACTTAGATAAACGTTATTTTAATCAGATTAACTAATTGGCTATTTTGAATTTTTTCAAAAAAATTTTTATTTTTATTATTTCTTGTATAGTTGTATGTTATACGTGGAGCGCAAGTGAGTATAAATTATATTAAAAAAAATAATAATATTGATTATAAGTTAGAACAAAAGTTATTTTATCTGTCAGGTGTTCCACGAGTAGGTACACCATACCAGATACCTACATTATTTTAAATCAACCTTTTAAAAGTCAGACGACTTTATCAAATATTTTATTAAAGTTAACGTCGGTATCTATTATAGGTCACTGCACGCTTACAATGAACTTTTATAACATAAAGGTATGTATATTATGTAGGTAATGAATACGACTATAATATTCTTCTTTCAGTGGCTTTCACAATGATCATTTTATGCGCATTATAATACTGGTTCATAGAACTTGGTTTTAACTGGTATATCGTATATACCTATATATATATAACATTATTTTTAAAACAACTAAGAATACAGAAGACATTCTTAACCGTCCTTCGATTACTGGGAGCAGGTTATTATTATGTAGGGTGATTCTTTTCGAAATATTCGAATTGGTTCCGAAACGTTTTAATTCGTTCCCGTGTTTTCCAAAGGGTATATAGTATATACGAATTGATTCCTGGATCATATAGGAATTTAAATTTTCCTTTCCATTTCGTTCGGACAATTAAATAGGTACAACGTTCTTCATAGGTCACTCAAATAAATATTCGGCATCAATTATTTCAACATTATTTTAATTTTAAAGATTATCTATTTTAGATTCTGAGAGGAGTGAGGAAGCTAGTGGTTTTACAATGGTGTTTATTTTTTTTCTATTTTTTATATCCTGTATACAAAATTTCTACCAGGAAATGCTTAGATTTCAACATATAGTACCTTATCTTTTAGCAAATTGGATCAAGATGGTACTTTAGAGTGGTCATTTTTCGATTTTATCAATAGTTATTTAATGCCACGGAAAAACCACGGAAAAATTGGATTTTAATTTCTAACGCTTTGCTTATTACCATAGAAACGAATAAAAAATAATAATATTATAATATTAATTCAATTTACATAATATAATAATTAATGACAATATAAAATATCTAGACTGACAAACCGTCCCCGCTCAGAATCGTTTTTCTTAAACAATGATAGAATATCATTGAATTCAAGTTTAATACAATCCATTATACAATGACCCACTTGACCTACTGTACAGCAGAGTAACATCCACTTACCCGCTTTTTTTTTTCTTAAAATACCTTTTTTTTTTACAATTTTAATACTTGGCTGTTACTATTTATTAGTACCTACCTAGGCACTTTCAAACCATATTATACTATAATAATAATTGTGAATTAATTTAGCATAATATTTTGAAATTCTTAGTCACTAAGACTTAGTGAATATTTTCTTATTTTTGAGTGCATATTCCATGGGTTTTAGTGCAATAAACTCACTGCCTTGATAATTTATTTATATTTTTGAAAACATTACCGAAATATTATAAAAGATAAAAGTGTTAACGTCATATATTTTATCCCGTATAAGAATGAGGCAAATAAATAAAACTATAATCTACTCAAATGATACCGCTAAATATTTACATTGCTGATTGATAACATTTTTTTATAAAAAAATACGTAAGCTACTGTTGTACATACACAGACAGAAGATAACATCATTTAGATGCCGGATATAATTTTAGTTTTTAGTTTTTAAATAAAATAAAAAGATCAGCATTTTTTTAATGTTTTAAAAAATAATTTATGAAGTGAGTAATACTATTACTAGGTCATCCGAAATACTAATAATTATTAATAAGTGTTGTCATCATTAATACTTAGTAATATTACTCAGTTATCTTATATCTACCATGATAGTATCATATATTATTTACATATCCTGCAAAGATATAATTTAAAAATAGTAGAGGTACATTATACATTTATAAATAATATAATATTTTAATAAATATCAATATATTTTGTATTGTTTAAATTAGGTATATATTTAGAACGTAGTAATACTTAACAATTTTTGAACCCGAATGGCCTATCCGCAAAATTATTTAGCCGAACCATGCATGCAGCAAAAATTATATTTTATTTTTTATTTACGCCTAACCGTCGTTTTGTGGACTTAATGAAGTTTAAAATACTCGTAATTGTATCGTTAACCAATAAGTAATAACAGGTAAAAGTAATATCAAAATATAATACCATAAATGTAAATAGGAAAAATACCTAACCTACCTAACGGCTAACACTTAAGACTTAACAGTAAAATAGAAATTCTGAATAGAATTTCTGAAATAAAAAATATATAGAATGCATAATGTCGTTGTCAGACAAACTAATCTATGTAGTGTTTACTTTTGTAGAGAGTTTAAAAACCACAATGTAATTATTAGTACATGGGAAACCGTTAAGAAAATTAGATCTGGATGTGGGAAATACTTTGAAATCGAATGATTACAGACTTCTGTTAAAGCCTAATTAATTCAATTCAGTTAGGGGACTTTGTCTGAATAATTATAGGCTATGAAAAACCTCTAATACTCTTTACTAATTCCCTTTTAACGGATATGCGGATATACAAGTCTAATATTTATATTAAACTGACTCATAAACAAGAGGCTGGTGATTTATTTTTAAAATATACCCAACAAGATCTGAAAATCTGTCCTGGAAACTTTCCAATAATCTATTTTCACCTAATAAAACTGAGACCAAACCACTGCGGACTGCGGAGTCATATTCTTGAACCGATCGAATTAAAGTTGAATAAAATAAACAAGCAGACAACGAGTGGAATAATAATTATTTATAAGCGTAGCACTAATACCTAGTTAATAAGCAACACTTTGCCGACTCCATAATATCATAATGAACTAGGTTACCTATAAATAATGGAACATAGCGTTCAGTGTTCACGGTGTTGTAAATTAATATACGGAAGTGATGAAACTTTACATAATAATATACAGTTACTCATAAATGAGACCTATATTTTATCAAAATATTCAATTTCAGAATTCAGTTTGAGTATTAGAATACCTATACTGTCAAAAAACCCTTTCTAAATCAATTCAAACAGAGTTTATTGAACTATCCAATACATTTATTTTGAAACTCAATGCATAATATTAACATAAATATTTACGATTTACATATTGGCTATTAAATTAAATATAAGTTATAATGTACGTAGACTATTTATATGTATAGTTATTTAACCATATAGACTAGAACGCCATAAAAAAGTACCTAGGTAAACTATAACGATAAACAGTTTGTTATATTGAATAAGACCAATAATATATGGTACTCCTTTAACTTCTTTTTATAATTGTATTTTTTATTAGTAAATTTGGTGTTTGTAGTTTGTAACTTTTGATCACCTTGCCCAAATGTCAAAACGCAAAGTAGTTAAATAAAGCAATGTTTAATAATATTACGCATCCACTAAATATCGTCGAGATTAATACCAGACAGATATCATTGAAATTGAGAAAACGTGTTTCGAGTCAGACTAAAAAGAGCAAATATAAGTATATAACACACTAAATTAATTTGAATGTTGGCATTTTTATATTTTAAATTAAAAATGTTATTACATCGATACCATAATAAGACATTCTAAACAAAGTTAAAAACTGGTACTAAGTACTAACCTGGAACGATTACCATTTATACATTTTATTATAATTTATTATTTTTAAAACATAATTTAATTAATTAGTTTTAACTTTTAACTTTTATTAATATAAAATAAAACTAAGTAGGTACCTACCAATTAGGGGGCCGCAAAAAACATAATTCAAAGACGCATTCACAAAGCCTTAATCATCCGAAGGCTTTCGGCCTAGAATACGATTCAATATTTTATTCTGGAGTCAAAAAACAGTTCTAAAAATACAAGACCAAAATTCACAATGCAAGTTTTAGAATGGCTATTGAAGCTTTCAGAAGTAGCTCAATTGACAGCATTATTAACTTATGTCACTAGAAAAAAAAGACAAAAATATTCTTAGAATAAATCAATAGACGATCCAGTACAATGGAAATTGAGCATCTAGCCTTACAAAGAAAACAAATATCAACATTAAAAACTTAATAAATAAAGTTATTTCTGATCAAATCCCATAATACATACCAAATCAATTAATTCACTTAAATTTATTAGGGAATTTAAAAATAAATAAATCTGGCAACGTATAAATACATTTTTCATTTATATTTCTTTGAAGACAAAGACTCTCGCTCTCACTAATTGAGATGCTTCCAATACACCGTCAGAACCAGAATTGTCATAATGTCATTATAATAGACAACAATGAAATATTAAATAAACTTTCCAATATCAAAATATAGTTGTACCGCAGAATACTTTTTTTGAAATATTTTTATTTTATTAGCTTCTAACCAAAAGTTATTATATTATAGCTCAACAATTAATTGAGCGTACCTACAAAATAAGGATATAATAAATATAATTTATGTTTATTACTATATAGTAGACTATTAGTATTTAGTATATAGTAATAATAATAATGAGACAAACTTCAACTATTTAAATTTTAAGATATACCTACACCTAATACAATATAAAATGATAAACTGTCATCTATTAAACATTACCTATACGGCTATACTATTATATAATATTATGTGCATTTATAGGCATATAGTAGGCATATAGGCATATCTAATACTAAATTAATAGTTAGGTATACAAATATTAAAGAGTAAAGACGCAGAATACTGGCACTGCTAAAAGCAACATAACCTAAATAAATTGCACCCAACATGAGAAGACAATCAATAATTATAAATTCGGACTCTTTAAGTGCATTAGGCATCTTAAAAAAATATAAAATAACAGATATAACTCCAGACATTTTTGTTTTTCTCATTCTCCTGGATTTCTGGATACAACAATATCATCAGCAATAAAAAAATCCAGAAAACTGGCAAAAAAAAAACAACGAATACACATACAGAAACCTAGAGCCCACAACACACCATGATAGTAAAACCTTATATATAAAACCTAACCTAAAAAAAAAATCAATGACATAAATGGAAATACATTACACAACACAAACGATAAGTTAAGATAAATTAAGCCGTTCGACACCCTTCGGAATCATGATTTTGCTTTTCCAGGCGCGTACTCAAACTATTATTAATAGTCTACGAAACTGGATAAGAACAACCATTACCTATGCGATTTCTGTGGCCTGCCTGTTTCAGCTCAACACCCAAAACTGACAAGTTAAAACTTTGTTTTTTATAATGTTTTTAACATTTGATGGACAACTGCACATTACAATTTACAATATTTAGTGTTCTAAATAATAATAATATCAAATATATTATATATTTGTATATATTATTTTAATATACATAAGCCAATCACTAACTCTTAAAAAATGTATTTAAAAGAAAATCATTAGAAAGAAATGAGCTGGCACACAGCCATATAGTTATTATACATACTCATGATAAATGTTATTTAAATCTGGGTGGTGGGTACTTATACAGTACATTTATATATAGGAAGAGGATTTTAATATTCAATAGATAGCATTTAAAACACCATCAATAATTCTCCGAGTGTAATATTAAATGATACCTACATAACTTAAAATGTACAAATAAATCAATAATAAATTATTATTTTATAATTTGCAGTATTAAAAAATTATTATGAGTACCTAAGTAATAAATTATAAATATAGGTAGGTACCACCATACAAAAACTATTTCTTTAACATATTATTATCATTATTATTTTGGATACTATTTTTACACTATGGATAAATGAATCAACATGCAATGTCATTAAGTAAAGTATATAACATAAGATGGGATAACCTATTAACTATTATGTATTGAATAAGTATTAAGTTTATACAGTCTTGGGTAGTATTCCGAATAAAGTATTCCGAATACAGTATTCGGAATACTATTTAGGTATTCAGAATACTTTTGAAAATACTTTTCCTAAAAGTATTTTACGCAGTATTCAGAATACCTTCGAAAGTATTCCAAATACTATATTCGGAATACTTTAATAGTATAACAATATATTTTTTTAGGATTTTGGTTATACAATTTAAAACGAAAAATAGAAAACTATAATTTTTGTTGGAAATTTCAAATTTGTAGGTAATTCAGTAATTGATATTTGATAACATCTATCAATATTTAATATCATACATTCATACAATAATAAAATTATGACCGGTATTGGTTTATATCATGTTTAGTGTTTACTGATTAGTGGTTACCGATCAGCGATACCGATTACAATAACAAGAATTCTATAAATAAATTTGTATATTAAAGACTAATGGGTATTGCCGTATTGCTTATCTTTTATATTTTATCTACTGTGACTGAACGTCTGTCTCTGACGTCTCTGTAGTCTGCACATCGTTGTACCCATACTAATTATGGTCTATGAAAAGCCAATAAGCCATTTAGAAATGCAGAATGAAGTGCGACAGTGACACATCACACATTATATTGACATAGTATATTATTAATTTATTGTTATATACTATTTTACGTATTTTTGTTTTCAACGTGTTAAATCATTAATTTGCGAGTTCACAATTATGGCAGATAAAACTTTAAATAGTGTAAATAGTGACTACCGTCTTCCTTGGATTAAATATGAAAATATATTTAAAATTGTAAAATTAAAAGAAGATTTTGAATCATACCAAAAATATTTGGTTCGTTGTAAATATTGTGTATCAACTAAATTATTAACAGCAGACACAAGGACATGTTCAAATCTGTTAAAACATTTAGAAGTAAGTACTTATTCCAACGATTAATACTTTGTATCTTTGTCAAACAAAAATATGATGATTTACTATCGGAAAAAAAATTAATTTTTCGCGATTTTCTGGTTATTTGTCTTAAGAATAGTGTAGAAAAACGTTTTAATAAACAGCTCAGTGATCCATTTTTATTGTCTGCTACACTTTCTCATCCATACTTCAAAACGGCTTGGCTTAATAATAGCGATAAAAAAGATACAGCTTTATCATTTTTTAAGCACTCATGTTTAGAAATGTTTGAGCAACAAAATTTATTGGAATGTGAATCATCAGACAGTGACGATACAAATAATTTTTTTGATTGGTCAAAAAATAAATCGAAATTAACTCTACCTTTGGAACAGGAAATATCAAATTTTTTTACCAAAAGTCCAACTAAAAACTTAGATTCTTTAATTGAAACTCCAACAATAAGAAAAGTATTTGTAAAATTCAACACACCACTGCCAAGCAGTGCAGCTGTAGAACGTGTCTTTAGTGTTGGTAGTGCCGTATTGACTAAAAAAAGAGGAAGAATGACAGATGAAAACTTCGAAAAAACATTAATGCTAAAATGTAACAAACATTTAATTTGAAAATATTTTAATATTTTGTTTAAATAAATACTTTTTACCTAATTTAGTATGTATTGTTTTCAACTGTGCCTGTCCTGATGAAAGATTTTATGCTTTGATAATATAATTAATATTATTCATAGAAGATAATAATATTGCAGATAATTATTAATAAATATTATAATATAATATTGTAAATCATAAATAGTCATAGTTAGGTATATAATAATTTTAATTTACAGACAATATATTATATATTTAAGCATTGGCTATAGTTCCCCCAAAGCAGTTATTATTTTATTAAAATCTAAAAAAAAATATTTTAAAAGTATTTGGAATATTTTTATAGTATTCTAAATACTTTATTCAGAATACTATTTTTATGATGTATTCGAATACATATTCGGAATACTATTTTTCCTGAGTATTCGAGTATTTATTCCAAATACTTTTAAAAAGTATTTTACCCAAGACTGAGTTTATACCTGCGTACAGTAGAAATTTCGCGCATTTCGTGCGCCCTTGTAGAGCAGCCTTCATTAGTGGTGTAAAGCCCAAACAGTTTCTGGCATCAATCTCTAGTTTTAGACAGTTGTTCAATAACAGGCACACAATTTCGGATTGACCTAAAAGTAAATGTTGTTTATTTCGGAGATAGTGTCGAAAATAATATTAAAATATTGGACGTTGGATAAAAAAAATGTAAGTACCTAATCAAAATACAACACATTTGGTAGGTACTTAACTTACCTACGTTAGTGATTATATTAATAGGTATATGAAAAAAAGGTTGATGAAAATCTTTTTAAAAATTTGTTTAGGATAGGTAATTATCTTGAAAGCATTTAATTATTTTCAAAGTATTATGAAATTAGTAATTACTATAAACTTAATTGAACATAACATTAATTAATGTAGCCAAACTGCCAAAGTAATAATAACCATTTACTCTAATTTTAAATTATAAATAGTCCACTAGTATATCTACTCAGTCTACTTTCTGTTTTTGTTTTCACTCAAATAATTCAAAAAAAAAAAAAATGATGGTTTACAAACAAACTTGAAAAAACACTGTTCAAACTATAGCTACATATTATTATACTAACCTGCTTGCGATGCAAAATGTAATGGTGTGTTGTCCTCATTGTCCGGTTTGTTATAATCCAAGTCCGGTACTCTAAATATCTCTTCGACTATTTCAACGCTGCCACTCGATGACACGTAGCTCAACAGCGTCTGTAAAAACAGTGATGCATACTATTATTAAACATAAGTATGTAAACATTATAAACTTGAGATAAAAACTTTATTAATCATAAGATGTACTTCCAGTTATTTGACGACCGATCACAAATATTTTCAAACAATTATTATATTAATATTACTAATAAACAAGTATACTGAGTAACAAACAAATAAAGGTACCTCTAATATATATTTATTTGTAATTTTGTAAGCAATATTATTATTAATATTTAGTACTGATCGTTTGTTGTACATATAATTACACTACTTTTTCAAATTTGAATTGCTATAAATATTAAAACAATATATTCATTCAATATTTGATATATTTTATAGATTTTAATCATTTATTAATACGATATAAATATTTTTACTAGAGATTAAAAACTACGAAGATATTAGAAAATTTAAAAACAAAAAAAATGTTGTGGTTTTTCCAACAATTCAAATATTAACAGATAGAAATTAGTGTAATAAGTTAAATGGATCCCTCGGCTTATATATATTTTTTAATATTATTACAATTTACGGTGGTAGAAGGGTGCCTTAAAAGTTTTATGTGGCAACTTTTTTTAAGATCGAAAGTGTCTCCCACTCTTCCAGCTACTTTTTTTTATAGTTATAGGTTGGCAGTCTTGTGACTTGTAAAGAATACTTTTATTTTGTATTCGGAATACATATTCGAATAAATGAGAATTAAGGTATTCAGAATACGTATTCGAATAGTTCTTAAAAAATATATTCAGAATACATATTCGAATACTTTAAAAAGATTAGAATACTTTTTTTCACAACTAGTTTTTGTCAGTTTTTGAATGGTTATGGTAATCAATATTTATTAATTAATAATTAAAAATACATCGTAATCATAAGTTATTTATCAATTATAATTTTTGACCACATATGAATATATAATACCTACGGCCGATACGGGCTATAATAACACATTGGTGCAGTGGCGTACGCAGGGGTAGGGTTCTAGGGTTCTAACCCCCCCTGAAATGTCCTCCTTTTACAAAAAAATCATATTTACCCCCATTTCATAATACACAGTTATATTACAATTACCATAAATTGATGGTAATTTTTAATAGTTATAAAATCAATTGTTAAATATGACAAAGACGTCGATAATCATAGTTTCAGTTTTTTATTGGCTGATTTAGAACATTGCTAAACGTCTACCACAATCGTTGTATGGTGTATCATCGTCCATCGATTATTACCACGTGTATTACGACACGAAGAGGCTCTATAGATGACCAGATGTCCAGGTTAAACACTCGAGTATTCTAAATGAAGACTAACTATAATTTGTTATAACCAATTATATTAAAACTGTTTAGTAAAAAATGTAGTAAATTATTTACACGGGTAAAACCCTAACCGAACCAAAATCCTGCTACTGCATTGGCGTTTATAAAAATAATCATAATATTATCATGGGCCAATATTATATTTCGTTCAAAGAATAAAATTATTGTTCATGATTCATAATATGTCTTGTCACAAATTTAAAATAATTTTTCTGGATTGGAAAAAAGTATTTTTTTAATGAATAAAAAATACAAATAAAAGTATTCAGAATACGTAATTGAATACTTTTTAAAAAAAGTATTTAAAATAGTATTCGAATACTAAAAAAATATTCAAATACTTTTATTTGAATACTTTACAAGACTGTAGGTAAGATTAAATTTTTTAGCATTACGTTTGCCTAAATAATTCCCCGTTTTATATTGCCTAAAGAGAAGGCATAGGTATACCATTTTTCAGATTTAAATTTTATCCTTCACATAACATATAATTGCCATAGCAACCAAAAAATAAATAAATATATTTATTATTAATTAAATACTTTAATAATCACTATATTATTTAAAAACAGTTTTGTATTAATTTATCTTCCACATAATTTATTTTAAATTACAGATATTAAATTATTTCACACAGTGAAGTACACAGGGATGTCTGGAGTACTTTGGTTGGTTTTACAACGTTTTGAAGTTTAATATTATTATACTTATCACTTTTTCCTATCGTTATTTAATTTCAATCTATAAAGATCTCGAATAAAACGTTTTAGTTGTTCAGCGTTTCTTCAAGTGCTTTTCAAATTATGTGTAAATAAAACAACAACCATAAAATTACAAAAAAATATATATTTTCTCATACATCATAATAAATACTTAACACTCGACCAAAAAATATTATTTTTTTTTTTTTTAATAGTAAAGTCAATAAAAGTTATGAAAATAAATAGTATTATTTTTTAATTACCAATAACAAATTTAAGTAGGTAGATTTAAGTAACTTCTTTTATACTAGTACAATCATGTAGACTTCTTATGCGTAAAACCTCCATTAAATAATATTACCTTACATTATATTTAGAATATTTATTATTAAATTTCATGAGGTAATTCAATATTTATTTAAAGTATTAAATTTATTTTCCCTTCTTAAAAAAAGGCAAAAATAACCTAAGCCTTAGTTTTTTACTAGGGAGTTATTAATTATTTTTTAATATACCTATATATATCATTTTATATCACACTATACATCAAACATTCAAAAAAAAATTTTCTTTCTATTGTTGTAACTTATTTATGTACTCATATATGGATATGGATATTAGGTAATATATTATTCTAATTATGTTTCATTTTTTTTCACTATAATTTATTAGGTACACGTTTTAAAATAATTATTTTCGTGGTAGTACATACTCGACCTGTAGAATCCGTGTCATTGATATTATTTCTAAAAAATTCTTCATCATGGCTTGTCAAAATATTAACAACTGATTCCAACTCCATGTCTCTGGCAGCTTTTAACATCTGCTTAACACATTCGGCTGGGTCATCGGTATTTACACGTGATAACTCTGGTGGCGTTCGCACGCGTGGTTCTGGTATTTCCGGTGTCATCTCTGAAACACCATTGCAAAATATACTATTACCAATTAAACAGGAAAACCAATACTCGTAACACATGATCTCGTAGAAACTGTATCGAAATGCAATTTCATAAACTAAAATACATTTTAAAGATGACTGATGATTGTTCGACTTTCGGTAATAAAAAAGTAACTCTGTAGAAAATAGCAAGTATCTGGTGAGTGGAGATTTATGTTAGACAGATAAAGTTTTAATATTAGTACATTACGCTTTGTTTTAAATTGTAGTTTCATTAGATTATACAATCTTTCGGTTTCTTATGAGTTATTACAATTAGTTTAGTGGTGAAAATTGTGAAAGTATACAACAATTAAAAGTGATTGTGTTATATAATGATATTAATCGTAATGTATAGGTAGCCAGGTAGTTATATTAATTAATAAATTATGAATCTTTCTGTACATCAATACCATGTAAAATGAAATAATGGAGATATTAACCAAATGTTAAACAAATAATTTCGTCTTATGAATTTAGGCTTTTAGCTACCTACCTATAGGCTATAACATTTTTTACATTATAAATAATAATAATAATATAATTAATTTCTATGGTGTTTTATTATTATTTTAATTTTTGTATGCATAGAATATAGAAAATATCATTTTTTAAAAGAACTACTATTTAAATTGAAGAATTAACTAGTAATTACATTACAATATGTATAAAAAGTACCTACATCTAATAATTATAATAATATGTAAGTACCTAATAGATTTTTATATTTAAAATCATATTTTTACAAAATATTTCCTTAACAAAATTATAAAAAAAATTTGGTATAACAATATTTACCTTTGACAGTGCTGTTTTCGCATACAGTGATTTCATGAAATTTCTTTTGCACGTCGTGTATGCTCTCTGAGAGCTTCTTATCGTACAAGTCAAACGTTAAAGATTTTCTGCCTGTATCTAAGCTACATTCGTCTGCTGAGTACCGCCTTCCACCCAAAAAAAAATTAATAAATAAATACATACACGAATAATTACATTATTAATATTTTTAATTTCATTACTTTTAATAATTAATGCGTATATAGTGTCTATAAACAAATGTACCACATGAATGGGTTATGGTCGGTGTTTTAACACGAAATAACGCGAGGTTTGACAGACTATTTTGTTATAATATTCGAATGTGTGTGTGTGTCTAATTATAATGTTCGTGGACTCCTACTGTCTACAATATAATATAACAGTCTATACCGGTGGCGCACACGTCGGGCTAACAATATCACTACATAACAGAAGCATCCGAGTCACAACAGACTTCCGAAAGCTACTCACGTCACATACGCGTCAACCTCTGTACAAGGTCGATACAAGTCAGTAGTCATATATCAAGGGCGTTTCAAAAAAAAAATGATGAGACGACTACTACCTGATTTAGGTGTTGATGAATATAAAAAGTTTTAATTGTGGGCATATTAATAGATAGTTCGGTAGGTTTATGCTTGTCTGTCCGCGCTCCACCCTGATCCAACGATATTTTATAACATGTACCAACGACGCAGATAAATATTTTTTTTCTTAATTTTAGGTAGGTATCCAATTTTTGAAGTCATAACGTAGGTGTAGATATATAGATACTATATTTAATATTATCTGTATAATGCGTAGGTAGGTAGGTACACTGTATAAAACATTTATTTAAGGAACAAAAAAATGCGTCATCTATATTATTCCATAGTGATATTTAGTTATTTTTTATTGAAAATACCACTAATTTATATTTATGAAAATATGTGTTTACAAAATAGAAATTATAAATTGGTGTGTATTTTTCACTATACGTAAATTAGATAAATTAATAACAGCGGAATTATAGTTGAGGTGGATAAACCTTTTAATTATTATATGTTAAATTTATTGAATATTCAAAAATATTTAGTATGTTATAGTCTATTTTTATATCTATAATAACTAACCTGTGACTTAAATAATCGTCAAGGCCGTCATCATTGTAATCGTTTGGAAATGACCCCCGACCAAATGTATTATTTTGATCTGCTAAGGCATGTCTTGGCGCACCACGTCTATGACACGAAGCAGTAGAAGAAGTCCCAGTTGAAGATTTTAAAGTCTGAAAATTTTAAAAATATATAAATAATTGTATGATTCAATATAATGTACAATGAGCAATGATTATTATACTGTATATCAGCTAAGGGCACAGATGACAGATGTACCTATTTGCAGTTGACTTCGACAATTTATTTCTTTGTTGCTAAGTTATAAATCCGTTATTAGAAATAAGTATAGAGTATCATTTTAGATTCTGAGAGCAGTGAAAATTTAATATTCCCAGTAGTTTTCCAAAGCGCCGGGAAAAAAATCAAGGAAAACCATGCATTTTTACGCAAAATCGATTTTGGTTTTTGGTGTAGTTCTTAAACAAATTACAGTAGATAGGTACATGCAATTTTCACTGAATGTTTACATTAGAATTTTCTATACACGATACAATTTTAAAAATATTCTGTCTTGTCTTAAGCTATTTAAGACATTCATAATTTTCAATTTTTTTAGTTTTTTTTTTTCTATAAATGTCAATAAAATGTTATTTCTTGGGTCAAAAAGCGTGAAAATTTAATGCAAGGCTATTGATATCCTGACATACTGTAACAATACCAGTTGAAAAATATTAAAAATACATAAGCACAGTTTTTTTTATAAGTATTTAAAGTTCGATTATTGACAACATTTATCAAATTTAAAATTTAAAAATGATTTTGTAGTTAAAAATTTATAAAATGTTCAAATTTTATAGATAAGAATTGAAAATTTTAAAAAACAAGATTCCAAGTAAGTAGGTTATTCTGTAACCAAAACATCTCAAAAATATAAAAAACACAGTTTTTTATGGTTTATTTTATGTTCAAATTTGGACGAAATTACATGTTAAATAACCAAGAATGATGATTTTAGTTATTTTTAAATATTTATGATACTGAATCATGTTTAGGATTCAGTAGGATTAAGAATTTGAACTGAATAAATAAATATATGATCCATCACATATTATATCCTTTCTACCTATATCAATTTCCCTAAGTAGGTAGGTGAAATTATTTTAATTAGATACCTATTAATACATATTTAAAATCCATAAAAATAATTTATATTATATGTATTTAATAAATAAATAATGTAATAATTTATAATTTGAACCATTGTATTACATTTTTCACACTAAAAATGTAATGTTTATTTTTTGAAAAGTATTTATTTTGTATTATCTTCCATGAGTCCTGTTCTATGGCTGATCACAACACCGCGTTTTAACAGAAGATCGTTTAATTTTAACAATAACAAAGTAAAAGTTCTGATTAAAAGTTTCATTATACACTAGTCGCAAATTACCTATATTATACAGTTATACGCATTACGTATATTATTAGTTTTAAATGTAATAGTTTATTTTTTTACAACACAATTGTGTAGGAACTAAAATACTTTACTTCCCTTAAGGCCTTTACGAATAAATATCGATCAAAATACCAGATCATAATAATCGTGTATTTAATACAGGATATTATAGAAAACTACGATAAAGATATTTGTCTCTGTTGACTAAAAGTTAAACTAAAAATTAATATATGTATATATATATCTCGTCTTCACCTTTATTTCTAATTCTGTATTATATTTCCTACACAATTTAAGAAGTATATATATTATATTATTATGTTCACAAGTTTCGGTTTAGCCATAAACACTATTTTCTAAATCGATTTAAACATAGCACTAAACTTTTTGAACTTTTTAATGTTTATATTATTTTGAATTGAGAATAAAACGCAATACTTCATTCTACAGTTATGTTAAACTAAGTTTGAAGACGAGACGATGTATTATTCTGAATAATTTAAGATATCAACCTACTATTCTTTAAATATTTTATGTCTTCACCCTTCAGTAGAGGTTTTTTATATTCTTTATATTTTTTACTCATAAACGTTCGATCTATAACAGAATATATTTTCATTTATAATTTTTAACAATTGCAATTTTATCATCACTAAAATATTTTAGTAATATAATACATTTATTAGTTTATTACAGTATAGAATGATAAGTAAATATTTACAGATCGTATAGCCTTTTAAGCATGATAATTATTTAACTATTTCAGATTTCTTGATTTACTTTAGGTAGGTTACATACCTGGCTGCCTATATTATGCATTAGGTACTTATAATATTTAAGCTTGTGTTAACATAAAGATTATATTACATTAAAAAGTCATAATGTCGTATACTCATATCATATTGATTTATGATATGCATTCAGCTTTCATATTATAAAAGGACAATGCTGCGGATTCTGAATGAAAAATTTGATTAGTTTAAAAACTCCTTCTACTCCATAAAATTATTGTATATAAATTATTTAAATAAAAAAAATATGAATAAATAACAATATAGAAAAATCTAATATTACAAACATTTATTAGATATTCGTGAAAATATCTTATAAATACACAAATATATTTTTATAATAAAGATAAAATATATCATTTTTACTTGGTATTGAAAGCCTAAAACTTCTTTCTGTATTTACATAATACTTCGCTAATTCCATTAAAATCGTTACAGTAAACTTTCATCGCAGTGGTGTTATTTTATTCAAGGCTTATAGGTCAATCATGATTGACGCGAATCGATTTATATATAAACCCAGGAGAAGGGGAAGGAAGCATAGAGAAGGAAGGTAGAAGTTGCAGGCATAATAGGATAATGAACATTTCGACACTGCCATATGCTATGACAGCGACAGTTTATGGTGGTATTTAACTTCACTGAAGGTCAAAAACTAAACTTTTATTTACAAAGTACAAAAAACAATACTTAAATTACATACTTCTTTAATTTATTTATTACCTAGTTATTTCATAAAATTTTAAGCAAAAACATCTAACTTATAACATACGAACATTTTTTAGATAATTATATATTTTTACAACTAAATGCTATTACAAGCATTGTCGATTTGATGTTAATTTCTGAACTCCTTTATATAAGTATTATAATAAATATAAATATTAAATTATGAACATTTATTGAGCATATATTTATAAGAAAATGTTTTACTCGTTGTTCCTAATATTTGTACATGATATAATATGTATCTTTTGATAAATAATAAATATAGTATTATATAGTATTGTAATTATATATTTTAATATTTATTTCTTAGATAATATAGTAAAATTATGTATGTATAATTGTATCACTTATTCGATACAATTATATCATGAAATTCCAATGTAATTTTATGTGAAATATTGAAAATTAAAACTAAAAACAAAATAGATGATTTTTTTTAGGTTTATAAATTTTAAATTGTAATTTGCAATTTACATTTTATTATATGATGTAACATTCGTTATTCATACTAGTTGAAACTTGAATGGGTGTTCTATTTTGGGCGACACTTATTATTTCAGAAAACACTGTCGTTTTTGAAAATATTTCTTTTGCGTGATTTTAAGTTATCACAAAATAACATTTTTGGAAAAAAAATTATATTATTTCTATTTTTTAACGTTATAATTTTTTTAATTTTTACTCTTTTGAACTTATATAATATAAATTATATTATTTAAAAACATATTATTTTAAATTATTATCGAAATCCAATATTCAACCTTTAAAAATGTGTAGCTTGATGTGTTTTTTCCTATAACCATGAACAATTTAGGGTATAGAATACTACAAAAGTTTCGAATAGCCATATCTATCGATCGGAAATCGAGTCTAGTTGGTAGGTACTTCAAATAGGTAGGTCATTTTACGATTTTCTCAGTAACTTTCAAATACGTACTAAGAGGAATCAACTAAAAACTATAGTAGTTATAATATTTAAACAGTTTTAACATACAAAATAATGATTTTCAAATGTGAATTGTGATAATTACTAAAATTACTTTCAAATTTATAACTATTACAACATTAATATATTATACCTATATCCTGATTCGTTTCACTTTGCAAATTTGGTGAAAAAAACAATATTTTACTTGAACAATTAATAACTATTAGTACATAATTGTTAAATAATGTAAGAAATTATTATCAATGGTTGTGATTCCGAGCATGCTCACCCCCGTATTTTACTTTAATACTTAATGAATTTATCCAAATTCTGATATTTGGAAATTTAAAATACTTATACAATTGAGGGCCATATTAAATACTTAGATTATTTATAAAATTTCATCTTCATATAAAAATCACTTTTTTATACTGTAAATTGTTAGTCAGATGAATTTTATGAAAATTTGCATGTATCATCTAAATCGATATTCGTACTTTGTGTAAGTTATTTTCATGATAATGGGCTTAGAAGTTATGGGAGATATGATTATTTGAACATTTTAGTAATTTATATTAATCTGGGTATCATAAATACTAGATCCAATATTATATATTTTTATAACTCAGAAACTACTCGTTAAGATGTTAACTTAAACATATCAAAATATTCAAAATAATCATATATGTAATAATTTTTAGTAAAAAAATGGTGGTTGTCATTTGAAAAAAGTTTGCATACCCCGCGGTCCACTGAACAATCAACAAAAATATAAATAATTAAAAATATGGTCCTTAAGTATACTTAAAATGTCTAAAAATCAGAATTGTTTACTATTTTACTAAAAAAATTGGAGGCGAGAATAATGCTTGGTGAATCACTCTGTATAGTTCAAGTCATGATCATAAAACTATGAAATATATATCTATTGCTTAGGCATGTTTCATATTCAAATATTACATTATTAATTCACAAAATGTACTACTAAGTGGTTTTACTCATTATTATATATAAATGGGTATACAAATACAATGGTAGTATTTTCTAGTTCATACAGTTAAGTAAATTAAGTTTAATTTGTATATTGATTGTTTCAATATTCCAGATCTATCAGTATTTAATGACGTGTGTTTATATTCATTGATCATTAATAATATTTTCCAGTGTACATAATGTGTTGAATTATATTTCGGTTTATCGTAAAATTAATGATGATACCTATCCAAACTACCTATATACCTAGTAAATATAGTACCTATTTTATCTTGTTTACGTGTTCAAAATCTTTAGAGTTGCTTAACATTAATCCATTTTTGATAATTAATTATGTAGTGAGTAAAATTATGATTTATTAGTAGGAAAGTGTAACTTAGTTGATTTTAGTAACATATTTTGATTTATAACCATTTAAGTCAAATTAATAAAAAGTTACGTTAAATATGTAAAGTACCGACTTATTGATGCTATACTTTATACAACTTTGCGCTCACATGCAAAAAATCAAAATAAAGTATTTAATACATAATATAATCAAATAAAAAAATTATAATGCTTATGTATATAAGTGTAGCGTCATCGGGAAAAATTTTAAGAGTTAGTTGGTGGCTAAACAAAAAGAATTACAGAATACATTTTAAAAAATAATTTTTTTTATCTGTATGCACTTATATTCTTATTAAACTATTATTACATGATTAGTGGCATGTTTTACTATGGTCTATGTTAAAAACGTACCTATAACTGTATAAGTTTAAATATGTATACATTTTCTAAAATATCGAAACAACATATTATAAAATAACTTGCAGTTAGATATTTACGACATGTTTCTTCTTCTATTTAGGTCAATAAACAACTCGCAGAAAAATCACCCGGAGTTAAATTTGTTGTTTTTACAGAGGTCATGGCAGGATAATTTTTTATCCGACCCCAGGGAATCGTTTTCGATGGAGGACACCCGAAGCGCTTGATGATAAATTCGGGGATAGAAGACGAAAACACCAGATACCCAAAGGGCACATAAAGCCGTAAATAGACCTTTGGGGAGAGAGAGGGGTATGAAAAAGGTCACATGTTATTTGACATTTTCATCCATACAAGTCGAACTATTTTTTTTTTTTATTTTGAAAAAAAATTACTAGTAGGCACATTGCACGTACGCCATTTTGTGTATTATTATATAAAGCATATATTACATACCACAAACAAAATAAATAACTATGTCAATAATAATAAGTCAATTTTAATCGGGCATATACATATGAGTTATACATTATATTTAATATTTATAAGTATAATTATACCTATAATAGATAAAATGTAAATATCCAGTTGCCAATAGGTATTCCCGACTACCCAAGTACGCATTATTTGTAAAATTTAAATATATAATTATGTACAAATTGTTATTTTGCTTGAATATAATAGGTTAAGATTTATTACAATTGCATAAGCATATTATAATATAACTATAATACGGCCATACGGGTTTAAATAGTTTCAAGTTTTCAGTTGGTACAAAATGTTTACAATTTATTACAGAGTTCCGGGATATTAAACTATTCAGATTTAATTTTGTTTTTTAAAAAATGTTTTATATAATATAGCATTTTGAAAAAAAAATAAAGAATTTTAAATATCAACAGCTAATATGGTTTTAATGAGTGGTGTAGTGACACCAGAGTACCAAACATTGCAGTCTTCACTCTGTTTAATTGAATACTTAAAATAATATCCCTTCAATAATCGATATTTATAAATTAACAATTTTCAGAAAATCGTTTTGCTTTAAAATATTAATTTAAAATCACTTAGGTATATTGCCGCAAAAAAAAAAAAAAAAATGAAAATCTTATTATTGGCAAAATGAAATGCTCTAAATAATTCAATCTCTGTAAAAATATAACAATTTTATAATAACATGATCTATGCCAGTCAAAACCCCGATATAAAACTATAATACTTACTATACACAATATCTTAAATATATTGTAATATACACCGGAATATGAAAAATAAATTACTGTCTGTAGTAGTGTAGTCTATGCAGACGGTGCAGTGTACAGTATCGCACATTATACAATTTTTATGGTAAATTATTTAACAATGTTTCTTTTCTAATAATCATTTAAAAAGAAGACATTATATACACATTTGACACTACAAATAGAAAATACGAGGTACTATTCGTCCTTCACTTTGTATTAATTTTATTTATCATCATTCATCACTACACACGATCTAAATGCTAAACTAGGTAATGTTTACTAAAATCCCAACCGACTACCGTGTACAATTTCTATCTATTTAAATATTGTAGTCAATAATTTAGATACTGTTAAACTATTTACAAACGGTAGGTATCTGTGAATGTTATTAAATTTTTATATCATGTATAATACTATGCTATATAATATTATAATAGTATTTATTATTGGACATTTCACAAAGCTATTAAATTGCATTTAAAATAAAAGCCCAGATGATAGCAACGTTTTAAATATTGGCGCCATATTGATCGAAAGTTGTAACCCGATCAACTATCCAGTATGGTTATCTATACGACTAATGAATAATAATTATATTATATTTTGTCAAAATATATTTCGATGAGTGAGTATATTGTAAGTACACCTACTTATAAGTTTAAATTAAATGGGTAGCTAATAAAACTCTTGACATACCAATTTTAAAGAGTGAGAAAATTCAATAATCATATTATTTTTAAGGTGCCTGCTCGTCTGTCTTCAATAATGGACAATATTTAGGCAATATGCAATTTCGTTGCCGCTTCCCATGGCATTTGTATTTAGTGTGAGTGTTATTGTATGCGAGTACCGGGCTATCTACGCACGCACTGCATGTGCGCACATGTCAACGTCACCGCCGACCAAAAATAAAATACTTGATATTTTGAAAGCAAAACTCTCACGCATCGTTGATTCATTTCTTTTTTCGTTAAAAAGAGTATAATTGTTTACAGTGAGCGTTGGACTTCGATTTTTAATATCGTTACTTAATAACAAAATCTTGTGAAAATTTGTCATATTAAAAATCGTATTATATGGTTTAGAAATAGAATTTTGAAAATCCATGTCCAATGCTCTCTGTAAGAAGTGTTTCTCTTTCTCAAAAAAAAAAAAAAAAAAAGCAGGTAACTGGATGTCGCTCTACTGTACAGTAGGTTACAAATGGGTCAATGTATAATGGATTGTATTAATCTTGAATTCAATGATATAATATCATTGTATAAGAAAAACGATTCTGAGCGGAGACGGTTTATCAGTCTGGATTTTTTAAATTTTTATTATTTATTATAACCTTTTATAACCTTTAAGTTGAATTAATATTATAATTTTTTATTCATTGCTACGGTGATAAACAAATTGTTAGAAATTAAAATCCCATTTTAAGTGGTATTTCGTAGTTTTTCATTAGTTTTTCTTGTGGTATTAAATAACTATGGAGAAAATCGAAAAATAACCTCTTTAAAGTACCATATTGATTCAATTTTCCAAAATATAAGGTACTATATGTTGAAATCGATGCACTCCTTCTGGTAGAAATTTTGTATACAGGAAATAAAAAAAAAATAAAAAATAAACACCATTGTAAAATCACTAGCTTCCTCGCTCCGCTCAGAATCTAAAATTATCGAAGTAGGATATTTATGAATACAATTCGTTAGGTACATATTATAGTTCATATACCTACAGATGTTTTTTTTTTTTATATAAAAGAAAAATCTGTACCAAAAACATTACGAACAAGACAAATAGACAATATAGATATAGCAAGATACAATCGAATTTAACTTTAAAAAATTACTGCTGAAACTTGCGTAGGTACCTACTGCAAGTTTTGAGTGTACTACGCTCAATGATGCCTAAATAATAACGCTATTATTAAGAAATTAGGATATAACTGTTTATACTCACATCTTTTGTTCTGTAAAGATGATCCGTGGCGCTGTTGAACGGGATTTTCGTATTAAAATGAACGGTTGCAGATGTCCTTCGTCCGGTATCGGACGACCGACCTGAAATGAATTAATAAACTAAGTAAGTATAATATACTATAAGGTCGTCGGTCAGATTAGAGGAACAATCATGATCGTGAGGAATGATCCACCCTTGAGCTAAATGTATACATATCAACATAATATTATGTACAACAATTTTAAATTAAGAACCTATTATATTTTCAGCCAAAAGTGCACTAATGTCTGTTCATAACAAATGTAGGTACCCACTTTAACTTATTCCTGTATAATATTAAAACATAAAAAAGTTATTTTCATAAATTTTAATCAGCTAGGACTCAGAACTTAATGAATTAGTGAAATATTATGAGCATAGATATTTGTTAAAAACCACCAAAATACGTACTATAGTGTATTAAAAAGTTAACATTTTTATAAAAATATTATGTTCTACTTAGTAGGTGGCTTATATCTCAAATAATTATAACTATTTATTCAACCACAATAAAGATAGCCAAGATAGATGGGTATAGTTTTAATGTAAGTATTGTAGTACTTATTAATAAATTATTATTATTTGTTACGTTTAAAAAGTTTGGATTTGAATAATTGTCTTTTAGAATGAGTTTTAACCCAAAGATAAAATAAGATTTATTATTTATAACTTATATATTAAAAAAAAAAAAATCTAGATAACTAGATTACTTATTACTATATAGGTAATTAGTTATACCTAAGTTTATACTAAAAAGTATACTTTGCTCCTTAAATGTCCGAGATTATGTTAATTATGAATATTATATATTTTATACAACAATATAACAGTATAACATGAATATACATAAGAAATTCATATTATTATTATTTTTTTAATCAGCTTTGAATTTATACTATAAATAATTAATGATGATGCGTTGTATTTTACAGTTACAAAAACAAATATTACTATGAATAATTAGTTTGTAATTTCACAGAAATCACTTCAATTTTATATTAAAATTATAGGATATAGTAATACAATTACGTACATTGACTTCAAAGTTTTTAAATTTACTTTTATACTTTCATAATAATTGTATAGTAAGTAAAAACACTAAAAATGTAATTATGAAGAAAGGTTATTATTAAGTATCTAATATCTATATACCTATGAAATTTTATTATAATTTTATAATTATAAATCCTGGTATTATAGAACCTTAAATTAATATTATTCATGAATTAATATTAATCATGTTGTTCAGTTGTTTTATACTTGTATAAACATGTTTAAAATATATTTCTCAATGTGTTCGTTTTTTGAAAACAATTATTTATCAACGGAATATTAATTAATATTAGGTACCTATACACTTTCATTTTTAAAACCGTTAAAATTAAAATAATAAATAATTTAAACGGATGAATGAAAAATTTTATAAGTGTACATGTTATTAAACTATTGTTAAAGTATTTGTATTTATTTATTTTGCATATATAAAGCATTGTGCCGATTTTCAATTCGGAAATTCATTAAGACTAGACATGGATGCTGGGTAATATAACACTCATTCATTTCAATTTTCATGCCTAATAAATAAATGTACGAATAATTGATTCAAAAAAATAATATTATATTATAATTCAATGTAATATGTCATATAATTTTAATTTGACCATGAACTATGACAATATATGCTAAAGAAGGATAATATTTATGGTTATTTCTAAATCATTGAAAACTCTAGAGTAAAGGTATTAGTATTTACAGCTACCTATATAGGTACAGTAACAATAACGGCTTTCCTATAATGAACGTTCATTTAGTGAACTTAAAACAATCAAAAATCATATTACAAATATATGTATATTTATACTCGTATATTATGACAGCGAATAGCTAATAATATTAAACTCTTTCGAAACCAGCGAAATATATTCTGATTCAGAATTACCTAATTAAATTTGAAAGGACTGATAAAATAACTTATATAAATCCGTCTGAGTATCGTTAAAAGACCGTCCTATATAGAGGATTTTGTTTTTGTTCAAGTCAGCATAAAAGAGTTTTGAAGTTGACATTAACAATCCTCCCCTCACATCTCCGTTAATTATTTCTTAGTAGGTACAAGCACGGAGTGTAATAATATAGTCTAAAAATTGTTTGAAATTATATAGGGTGTCCCAGCAGAAGCGCACATTTTAATAAAATAATAATAATTCAGCAAAAAACCATCGAAATTTCAAGAAAAAAAAATGTATTGTAACCATTAACATCTCCCATTTAATGATGAATAAAATAATGTCGAGTAAATGTCCACCTCCGCGATCCCTGCAGCATGTAATAATGCGATCGTTGAAATTGGTGATCACTTTCGCGCACATCTCTCTGCCGATTTCGCCAATTACCCGCCTGATTTCTTCCTTCAATTGATGGATGCTTTGTGGATTATTTGCATACATTTGACTTCAAATATCCCCATAAAAAAATCACACTGGGTGAGGTCACATGACCTGGGAGGCCAATTCTGGTTACCTCGGTTTGATATCAGGTTATCAGGGAATTTTTCACTCAACAACGCCATTGACTCACGTGAAGTGTGGTTGGTAGCTCCATCTTGCTGAAACCACATTTGCTCGAGATCCATTCTTTCAGTTTCGAACAAAAACAATCCCGGCGTTTTTAAATCATTCAAGAAGAAATATTTTTAAGGGGGAATTTTATACATATAGGTACTTATATAGTTATTAACTTATAAACATAATATTATTATACGCTGTCATACAAATTTAAATTTAAAAACAAAAACAAATACTTTGTAATAATATTGTATACACGGCCAATCAATTAAGGTATAAAATATTTTTCTTTTTTTCAAGCAACTGCCCTCAGGTGCACTATAGAGATATAATTCACAAAGTATATATAACTATTTATGATATCTATAAGACTATACCTTCTACCTGCATAATGCCGCCTGGTATAATATTTTCTCTACATTTTTCATTATTGTTTCTTTATCTAAGGTAGTTCTCAACACTTTTCATGAAGACACTTAAATCTAAATGACAATTGAAAAAATAACAAAAAATATAAACCTATGTAAATTATGAATGTATATATTGTTACCATTTTATTAAAAAAACAATTGTGGTGAGCGGGTAAGTGGAAGTCAAAAACCGATTTTGAGTAAAAAGTCCCTTTTTTCCGTATTTTTTTTTTTTTGTTTTTCTCGGCGATAGTGTAAACTATTTCAAATCTTAATCTCCAGAATGCTCCAACTAGATTCACATTCCCATCGAACAAGATACTGAAAATCGAAGCATTATTTTGACTACCTACTTATCGGGTACACAGACACAAATATTAAGAAAAAAAACACACATCATTGTAAAATCAATACATCCATCGGAGCCGCTCAGAATCTAGAATAAAAATATATATTTATTCATTCAAAATAAATGGGTACCTACTTTAATAATAATATAAAAAATAAAATTGAACAAAACAAAATGTTCATTCTCGCGTTATACACTCTGGTGGCCTATCCATTCTTATATTGTCTATGGTAGTACGTGACACGCCAGTTTAAAACCAACGATCCATTCGGTAAACATGAAAATTTATTGTCTGTATTTAATATTTACAAAAGCGATTCGACTAGGTATACTCATTCATTTTTTTCAACAACTAATCAAACTGTTTTCTAACTGCAGAAATTCAAAAGCGAATAGGTACTGAAATAGTATGGTCTACATATTATTAAGCTATGAAATACTCAGTATTTATACTCAAAGCGACAAAGGTATATGTACCTAATTTAGTTGGATAATGTTGACAAATGCGACGGATCCGGCATCACAAGTGTTTAATCGAAACACGTCTTCCTCATGCGAAATGATTACGGCAATTCAACTACTTAATAGTTGGTACTCACAACTCAGATAAGCAAATAGGTTATGCAATTATAAGTTTAATTTTAATTAATTATTATTTTCTATTGCAGATCAGGTCAGTTTTAACTCGATAGCCAAATTTTTAGCAGAAAAAAACAGTCTTGATTTGAAAAATAATTTTCCTTTTAAACATTTACTGTATATTTATTATTTTAGTTTCAGTCATTAAGAACCGAATGGTGGAGCTGGGTATTGGTTTTATAATTATTAATTATCTATGTGTTCTTTTTAGACGCTTTTGTTTTCTAATATAGGTACCTACATTTCTTGAATTTAAATGTAAATAGTAATATAGTATAAATACATACTATACGTCTATACACAGGGCCGGATTGGTATGTACCGGCCCATCGAGATTTTTACTTCTATAAGTGGCCCATTTACCTATTCAGTGTCCCAAAATGTTGTCTATAATTATTACGAGCTTATAAGTGGCTAATCGTATTTTAAACATGAATTTATTTTCACTCACACTCACACGACCGGCCCAAACTTTAAGCGGCCCACCGAGATTTTCTCGGTAGCTCGCCTAACCAATCCGGCCCTGTCTATACATATGCTGTCTCTACCCTGTTATTAAATCACAAACATTTTTAACAGAAATAGTAACATACAAGTTAAAACATTTTGGTCAAAATAAAATATAGTTGGTGTCATTCCGTCATAATATACAATATAGTGCATGCGGAAAAACATCACACATAAAAAAAAATAATATGATTTTATGAAATATAAGTAGGTATATTTACAACTTTACAATGTAATTCAATAATTGTATCAATATAAATATAGGAACTACCTAGGTACTATAACAATTAAAATTTGAAAAAAAAAATTGAATTTCTTGAACAAAACCGATAACTTATAATTAGTGCAATTAATTTTTATAATATAATTTATAAAGTTGAAGTAATTAAAATTGTTTGTATACAGGTTCCAGAAAACTATTCTGAGAAATCACGGGCAACCTTCTTTCGGGTTTTGATCGTATATAACATTTCAAAAATGCAGGACTTTCTAAAGTACCATATGTGTTAGAATTCCAATTTATAGAAATGGCTATGCGGGAACTACGTGAAACTTTGAAGTACTTTTACTGAACACAAACACTGTATTCCCAAAACAAAACACATCATTATAATGTTACACCATGCAATACCTCACTTTGTTTATTGTTCAGAATTAAAAACTTAAGAACTTTAATTAAATACAAATAAAAAACATAAATTTGAATTTATAAAATCTAAACTAGATACTTTCGGTTATTCATCACTTTGTTTATTTATATATTTAATAAATGTACTTAATTAGGTACCACAAATATTTATTCTTTAATTTTTATACTAAAATCGTCCTAAAATCATGATTTCATATTAATAAAGTAATACATTTTAAAACAACCAAAAAAATATTAGCCAGACGTCGTGTAACTAAACATTCCAGAGCAAAACGAAGACGAATTTAGAATTCATTGTGATTCGTATACGGTTGTGATTGATTGGCGAATAATGATTTATTGGAAAAATAAAATAAGAAACAGCTATCAAAAAATGTAGACAGCTATACTTACATGGGTTTGGAGTAACCGTGTGAAGTTTATAGGCAGTAAACCCGTACATGTTGAAGGATTCAATGTCTATCAACGCCGTTCATGTTTTATGGAATCGCATTATTTTTTTTATCGCAACGATTATTGATATAGGATTTGTTTTTATATTTTTTAATAGTTTGAAACTGTTAAATTCAAATTCAAATTCAAAAAAAAAAAACTTTAATATGGTACGAATGTTTTTTTCTCGTTTTAAAACTGGTACGCGTATTTCGTAATTCACATCACAATAATATACATGGCTAGTGGTACCGAGTACCGCGTTTGTATACCGGCGTCGGCGGTGGTAGCGCGGTGTCTGGGGAGCCGGACAAAAGCCGAATGTGTATGGGAAGAAAAATATATTTTCACGAGGCGTTTGTTCCGAACTTGGCCGGCGTCCCGCGTTTGCGTGATTAACACTATCCAGTCGATCGGCCTGGGGGTGGGTTTCTCGAGCGGGGGCGACCGATGTGCGGGCGGGTTTTGGTGTCGGTGGAAGGACGCGTACGTACGTATTATATACATATAGTGTATACAAACGTTACTGACGGGTAGGAAACAATTTCAAACAATGTTCACGGGTGTTTATTAAAAACGCAACGTTGTATATATGATTAAAAATATAAAATGCCGCATTAAAGCCGATAGCTGTTTTGTTTACGCGCTTAAAACAAGACGGGGTGTGAAGCCCTCTAATGAAAATCGTTACACACAGGCTACACAACCCACTTAAGTCGTCAATATCCTGAGTATTTTTTTTACGACGGGACAACAATGTACACGAGTGAAAATATTGGATTTAACTTCCAAAACAAAACAAGTGACACTCGGGACTTAACCAGCCTTTTTTTTTTGCAACGGAATGAATAATTATTATAATATATTATGTATAATTGACAAAGGCAACTACAAAGCCTTGGTGCCTATATGATTAGGTTCGTCATTTCAGCTACACCCAGACAAAATAAATATAACTGTGTATATGGGTAGGTCGTGGTCCGTAGGTATACGCCTATACCAATACCAAATTCCGAATAATTATTTGATGGCTCTATACATTATTTATGTTAGTTACCAGTTACTTATAGAAACTAAAGTTATCAGAGTTCAGATTGAATAATGAATTAGAATTTATTAACATAAATCTTCAAGGACGAGTATTTTCAAAATTAATATTTCTCTCTATGAACATTATAATATATTACTGAAATCATAAAAACACTGAAAATATAATATAATTAATTACATATATGTATTCTAAAATACCTATAGCTTCTTTAAATACTGCAAGACTTCGTGCAACAATAATCATGCTACTAAAATGAATGTTAAACTTTATTTTAATTTTTAAATATATAAAATATTATGTTATATTATACAATATATAGTAGATCCCTATATTATTACGATATGTGACCTGCATGTGTGGCATAAGTAACAAAACGTACAGTAGAAATATTATATTATTATGATTTATGAACATAAATGTATGCATATCACAAAAAAACAATGTGTTTTCAATATATACACTATTTTAAATCTGATCAATGTGATAATCATTCATCAATAATATAACAATACAAAATACAAATAGTGAAATTGATTTGCTTATATAATATAATGACATGAAAGTCATCATCCTGCATATAAATTATATTTAGGTTACGATGTATATAGCATATTATATATTTATATGCATATGCAATTGTATATATAATATTAATATGACGTGTTTATTGTCAAAAGCTGTTTTCCGTGTCCTGGTTTGTAAAAACTAAATAGTATGATATAGTGATGATTATACTAATTAGCTAAACCTACAACTCAACATCACGTTAGACGTACAAATTAAAAATACTATTTAACATTGAATTTAATTCTGAAATGTTGGCAAAAAGTATTTGCTGACAGCCGAAAATGTGTTTGGCATACACATTTTGTAGGTTAAGGTTGATCCGTTCAACTATCATGTCTATAGTACATACGAACACGTCATACAACTTTGTTTAAGTGAAACATCGTAATTTTGGATTCGGATCGGAACAAAATGAATGTTTATTGTTTAGGATTCATATTTGATTTTTTTTTACTGTGGGTCTGGCCTCATTTTTAAGAGCAGCGATGAAGATCCTTTAAATAGCTTTAAGATTGGTCTCTAGTAGACAATTATTGGATCTTTAGTTGATAATCTAGTAGATCAAAAGTAAAAATCCCGGTTACTAAATCAATTTCAGAACCTTCAAATTTCCATCATATTTTAATTCTATTGACGTTTTCTAGATAATATGATACATTTTTCAAAATATGCTGGATCTTTTTAGCCATTTATATAGATTTTATATTTACTCGTTTTGTTTCGATTTTTGTATGATACATTTTTGTTCATAAGTCAAAAAAATTGATAATTTAAATTTCAATCATTCCTCATAAACTCTTCTTACAGCGATTAAAAAATGTCGAAAATGCAATTTAAAAATAATAATCTTTCTTTTTTACAATTTTAGTTTTTTTGTTACTCGTTATTATGCTGTAAATTGCAATTCAAAAAATATTATTTGTAGAAACTTTAAACTTTTCATCATCGTGTTTATTGTTATTTTCTATACACGATGAAATGTTCAAAATATTTAGACTAATTTTAAGCTATTTATACCTCGATCCTATTTACACTGTTTTACACGGCACGTCGCGTGTCGGTATTTTGACTTGTACGTTAACAACGATAATATAATATAATATGATACCTATGATATTATAATAATTAATACCTAATATAAAACATATTTACCAAGTTTTTGTCAACAGTTAGTTCAGTAGGTATTATTAATAAAAAAAAATTGAATTTCATATAAATTACTTACAGAGTGATCAGTGATATATAGATTAACTAGTTATAAATTAATATCGTTAACCCTTAGAAATAGATGCTCAAACGCCGTCTCCGATCAGAATTGTTTTTATTATTTTACAATGATTTTTGTACTGAATTCAAATACAACACATTCGATGTACATTACAGTTATTACTGGCTACTCAATAAACGTGTCGTCGAGATCTACTATTCAATTGCATTGAGTAAAGCTATCCCTGTATAACATTTTTCATTAATTTGAATATAATAACTAATAAACTTATACATAAATAAAAAAAAGTAGTTGACTGAAATTGTTGCTGTTATGTTGCCCTTACCGTTTTTGCGATTCTTTTAACTTGTTATATTTTTCATTATATTAGATGCGAATGTGTGATATATATTAATATATTAAAATATAGATTATAGGTGTTTGTTAATTTTACATAATATTATAATAGTTTTATATAATTATATAATATGGTGTACAGGAAATAGGGTAGTACCTATATTGTTATACAATCATATATTATCAGGCCCAAATACTAAATCATTACATTTTTAAAATAGTAAAATATTTTCAGGGCGTACCAACCTAACTATATTTGTCTATACGCAGACGAAGCGAATAACGATTATAAATGGACAATGGCGACTGGCGACTATTTAACGTCTGACAAGTAAACTGTGGGCGATTGGTAAGCGGAAAAGGGAATATGTTATTAGACGCGACGCTTGTATTAACAGTCTTCTTGGAATAAGTAAAATAAACATTGCCACCATCCGCTTCACTAGCCACTGCGAATAAAAAATTTAAACATATATATATACATATAGGTATAGTACAATAAATCAAATAACAAAAAAACCCTCTTCCGACACATAATAATATTATTTTACAAGAAAGAATACCAGTATATTTTAAGCAAAGGTATAATTTTGCCCCTCCCCCACAGATACGCCAAGCTTTTTATTTACTTAATATTATTTATCGATATAGATACCTATTACAACCTAGGTAGGTACCTATACTCTATAGTATAGTATAAGTCTCTATAACTACCTAGGTATGATTTGTTTCCAAACCCTATTTAAAATGAGTAAAACAAGCAATTATGTATAAATAGTATACAAATATATTTAAAATGTAGGTTTTGATTTTATCTGGTAAAATTAATTTTCACCCCTAGTTTTCTACCCAGTTACGTCCATGGCGTACTGATGATAATATGTACCTACTATAATAATCGACGAACGGCACACGTTACTATTTTCCACGCATAAATCCTCTTGTGGCATTTTTTTGTTTAAGTCCTGTAGAAACGTCAAAACATTGTTTGAACTATAGGTATTACAATGTTTGACCTTCGGTCCATCTCTGGGGAAACATTTTTCAGTCCTTCAGTACAAACAATTCCACAAGTCCTGGCGTTCTACGTATCAATGTCGAACCAATTTTTCAAATTCCAAACAATATAATGTACGTACAAATCGTCAGGAATTCCAAACTCCAAAATGGGGGGAGGGGGTCAGTGTGAAATAACGTGCCTTAGAAAAAGCTTAAAAACATAATATTGTAGTCCATATGTATAAAAAAAAATTTAGTCGTTATACTTATTTCATTTTATAGGTAATAGTGTTATTTCACATAATTTATAATATAAATTAGCGAGGATTAGCGGCAATATTACCTACAAATTTAGTACAAGAACTGCGGCATTGCATAAAAATACCTTTTTTTCCTAATTTCCCCCCCTCTCCGATTATTTTACAAACGACTACTGGGATTTTCAATTTTGACATCCTCATAAACACCAACAGCTATATTCAATTTGGTATCAAAAACTACACTCAAAGACGTAGATTGAAGCATTTCTTCAGCTATAAACGTGTACGCTAGTACACACAAAAAAACTCATCATTGTAAACTCAATACATTCATTGCTCCGCTCAGATTCTAAAATTGAAATGAGTATTACGTGCCAAATGTAATGTGTAGCATTCAATAACATTAGATGTACCGCAGGTTGGCCATACCCGGGTTAAATTTTAAACTTTAGTAGGTGTCTGCTATAATACCTACTTTTAGAATCTGAGTGAACTGCGAAGCTATGCATATATTGGTTTACAGGTTTCTACAGTATTGGCATTGTTGGGTATTACTTTTCAAAAGTAAT